ATATATATATATATATATATATATATATATATATATATATATATATTATTCTTTCATATAATATAGACCACCTCCTTACAAGTATATATAGTATTAAGGGGTTATTCATCAGCCTCTCTCCTTTCTTATCTATACATAATAATGTCAAAGAGGTTGATCTCTTGACTCCTCTATCTTCTTATATAATATAGACCACCTCCTTACAAGTATATATAGTATTAAGGGGTTATTCATCAGCCTCTCTCCTTTCTTATCTATACATAATAATGTCAAAGAGGTTGATCTCTTGACTCCTCTATCTTCTTATTTCTATATACAATGACAAAGGGTTGGTCCTCTAACTCCTCTACATCCTCTCCTGCTTTTACATTATTCTCTTATTATACCTCATCTTTAACCTCAACAAAGTCAAATGTTGGGGTAATGGCAAATACCTTCATTCTCCCCTCCTCCTCCACTCTTCATCTTTAGATGTTTTCTATCTAAAAAATTATGTATAATATTAATTAGAGCATATGATTTTTACTCTAGCATTATCGGGTTATCGTCCAATCTAACACAACTCTAGAAATAATTAAAGACATAAAGCTAGCTACTTTATTCCTTCTTGCAATGAAATAAGCTAACTTCTAGATGAATGTGCTTCTATTGCAACCTCAACTCTCTCCTCAAAAATAGGGAAGCTTACTTTCTTTTAAATAATTAAAATTGAGATAGACTAAGTATGAGTATGTACAATTGACTTGTAAAAATCATCTTAGTAGCTCTACGCTCCAACTTAGAATGGACAACTTCTTTCAAATAATATGATAAAGAGTAATAGTGAGCATATCATACATTGATATCCTTAAATATAAATAATGGTAAAAAAGGCACTCATATCATTATTCATAAACTGTAGCAATCCTTATATTTGAGCACCTCGTCACTCGTTTAGCTTAACATCCTTATTGTTTTCTTCCCAAAAAGCTAAACACATCTCTTCTCCAATTATGGGATGGCTCCATAAGGCTAGTATTATAGTGATATTGCATATATATTTATAAATTCTGGGTTAAGACATTCTTATTTAGGGTAGTTTACTTTTATTGCACCAAGCTTGTCTTTAGCTCTCAAAGTATTTTCTCTCACGACATCCTATCCTATGGGTATCTAAGAAAGTACCTCCTCATCTTTGATCAAATTAAGCATTTTTGTGAAACAATATTGTGTTTGTCAATATTGAGGAAGATACCATCCACAAAGCATATCCCAAGCTTTTATAGATAATCTTTATTAGTGCATTTCATTAAAGTATATTTTAGGTATGTATTTTTGAATTTTTTTTCTCCATCCAAAAATCAAATGAGTAGTTTGATGCTTTATATTATCCTCTTGAATTCATCATCAGAAAAAAACTATTTGGAATTCACACATTTACAAAAAAAAAAAAAAAGGTTAGCAATCCTAAATGTCATGTTACTCCCTTCATGTTGAATATAATGGAATGCTTATTTTTTTCATTATAATCAAACATCCTTAGTAACAATTGAAGTATGCGAGGCACTAGAGAAATTGCATTTCGTAAGCTTTAAAGAGTTAACTAAAATGGGATATCTCTGATAGGGCAATGAGGTCATTAGTTTCTAATCACTTTACTAGTTTCTTCATACATGCCTAGTTCAATATATGACATGAGCATTATAATGTCTCTTATCTGACGATATAAGATTATATATCTGCATACACAACATAACAACTCAAATGAGTAAATTGTAAGAGATGTGATGCTGACAAAAATACATCTTCGAACCATATTCAATACTAATTGAATAATCTTAGATCATTTTCGAACAATCTTTAATAATGGTTGAACCAATTTTAAAAAATAATCAACCCATCCTTGACATATTCCATGAGTCTCCATAAAGACTTCAACTCACAATTGATAAAAAAATTAAGTTGTCTTTGATGTATTAAGTGCCTTAGTTGAATCATATTCAAACCTTCTTCGATTCAACAACATCGATACGATGAAGGGTTGAATAAGGCTATAATATGTCAAATTTAGTTTAAAATTATGTAATCGTGGCTTGAATAAGTTACGGTGGCTTATCAAATGGGCTGATCATTTAAAAAAAATGATTATGATTCCAATATTGCTATTTAATCATCATTCTAACTACGAATATGTTGGGATATGGCTTTAACATGATATGTGGCACCTAACAATAAAGGGGCTTATGATTTTAGATTGAGAAGCTTATTTTCAGTCATAACTAACAAATAAAAAAAAAATACTAATATTTGAAGATGATGAATAAAAACGATCATCATTATGATTTATTTTTTTGCCACAATTTAAAGATGTATGCCTTGCAATAGTTGGAAATGAAGAAGGTGATTGAAAAAAAAAAAAGATCAATGAGCTCATATGATCAAAATATACATAATTATTCATCGAGAGCTTTGACTTTAATTGTTAAACAAAATAATATTTAGAAACTGAAGGAATATTCAAGCCCATTTTTTCAATAAATGAAATAATATCATATATATAATTTTTTATAATTAGTTTTTATTTCATAAATTAAAATTAAATTATGCATCATTATAATTTATATTAAATAAGATATATTCGTTCAATGGTTAAAAAATTAAATAATTATAAGTTTTAGAATTTCTTTAATATGTAATTTGTAAAATTTATTGACGTAGTATTATTTTTAATTGTCCTATACATCACGATAGAAATGAAGTTCAGTAAAAACATCGCTGCGCAGGCGAGCGAGAGAGAGAGAGAAGAGACGGGAGGGTCCTCCTTCATTTCCCGAGAGAGAGAGAGAGAGAGTACTTCTTCATTTCCTTCAGATCTCACTTTCGACAAACCCTAATAGAGAACAGGGATTTTTCCAATCTCCGGAGCCATGATTTCCTCCAGCAAGCTCAAAGCTGTCGATTTCTATAGGTCAGACATCCCATCCCTACTTAGACGATTGCAACGATTATCTGATTCCCATCCCTCATTTCAGCACTCATCGTTGATGGGCGATTGTATGATCTTCTCATCGGCATTCGATCTAGATCTTCTATCATTCTCTTTACGGAATAATCAATGAACTTAAAAGTAATCGCTTCTAATGCTGAATATTTCTGCTTCGCAGGAAAATTCCTAGAGATTTAACTGAGGCTTCGCTATCTGGAGCAGGATTGTCCATAATAGCGGCGCTTTCTATGGTGTTTTTGTTCGGAATGGTGCATGCTCTTCTACTTTTTTGACTCATTTTATCATCTAACTGATTGAATGTTTAATGCTTGCATTGTGCTTCGAGTTGCTTGCACGATGATCGCTTACGTCCTGTTATTATTTTTAATTATACTAGAAAAACCGTGGATCAGTTAATTAAAAACTGAGTGTTGTTTTGATTCTTTTTAACAAGTTTTTGTTGAAAATTTTATGATATTTCAGGAATTGAATGATTACATGACTGTAAATACATCTACAGCTGTAGTTGTTGATAGAAGTCCTGACGGTGAGTTCCTGAGGATTGACTTCAACATAAGGTAGATTTTTTCCTTACTTTTTTATCTTAGTAATTAATGAACTTAGTTCCTTTTTTTATTTAGTCTTCTTATTTGCCCAATTTTTTCAATATGTTTTATTGGGCACTTCTAGAACTAAAATGACATTTTGTTTATTTTTTTAGTTAATATCAGTATTCTGAACTCCAAAGCAGATAATACATGAGATGGTCTTTCTGATAAAACAACCCGTGGAACGCCTGTTGGGGTCTTTTATCTTTCTGATTGCTTGGTTATTTGCTGCATCATTTATCGTTTGTAACATGTTTGCATTTGCAGAGAGAAAAAGGAAATAATATTTTCCCTCTTGCAAAACTGCTTTCTAAAGCCCATTCCTGGGTTGGTAGTGGCGGGTTTCATGAGTTGGGAAGGTGGCAGTGGTGTAGGGGAGGGGTGGGATGGTTAACAAGGATTGGGGGCAGTGAGGTGAGTTGTGGGGCTAGGGGCCTTTTTTAGTTGGTGTATGAGCGAACTTTAAAATGACTATGCTTGATGTGGTATCTCAATCTCATTTTCCCATGCGTAGAAAATTAGATTTTGTGTGCAAATAATGTGTCAGTTCAAATGCACGGTATCATTGGAATTCTGCTTTTTTGTTTGGGATTCCAATATTGATGCAATAAAAAAAAAACACAACTAAGATTGCAAACAAAAAGTCTTCCTTTAATATAAATATGACAAACATAAATCATATAACTTATATTACTTTTGAGAACAAGGATACAAGTGAGGCTGGAATCATGGATAGAGAAGAAGAGGATAGAAGACCAAGACGATTTTTAAGAGGAGAAGGGGAAATGAGAGTAGCTCGCAAGCTAAAAAACCCGCAGGTTTTTACATTCCAAGCATTTTCACACAAAACTTCCTTTTTTACTGCAGGAAAAACAACCACTATTTATAGGGGGAAAAAGAAAAATCATTTAATGCAAGGTAATTAAAACACCACCCAAATAGTCACTAGAATTCCTTTGAAAACCACATCAAATAGGACCGAAGGGACAATAGATCGGGGGAAAGCGAGGCATTAAAACAACAGTTAATGGGCACAAAAGTCAAAGGGACAAGCGGACAGCTACCCAAACCAAAGGGACAGCATTGGGAACCAAACAACATTTTTAGGAAGTCCAAACAACACACAAGGAAGTCCAAACATCATTTTTGGAATTCCAAACAGCACCTTGATTGCATCAAATATTTATCTGAGAATTTGTTTCATTTAATTTTCTTTTGTTTTATGACTTTTATTCACTTTATCAATTTAGACTTTTTTTGTTTCCTCAGAAAGCCCTATGGCTTGGCGAATGTTAGTTGTGTTCTTATTATTAGTCGCTTTCTCAAAGCTCTAGGTGTATCTGATTTTCATTGTCTCAATTCTGTAGATGTGTTGGCCCATGGCAATAATACAATTTGTGTATTCACTATACGCATGAGGAATACAAAGAGGGGCATGGGAGTTTTTTGTTTCACTTTTTTTCCATTTGCTTATGTATGACTACCTTAAGGGTTATAATTATTGATCTCTCATGTACTACAGTGCTTTTAATTTGATTGTTTGACCCAAGAAAAATCTGTTTTGCAGTTTTCCTTCACTTTCCTGTGAGTTTGCATCGGTAGATGTGAGCGACATATTGGGCACAGTAAGTTTTTGTCTTTCATTTGGTTATAAATGCTGTCCATCTTATCTGAACCTTTTCCTATTTGAGTGTGAAGGACTAATCACCTTATTTGTTGTTTTGGAAATTGCAGAACAGGCTAAACATTACAAAAACTATTCGAAAGTTTTCAATAGATCCAAATTTAAAGCCAACTGGATCTGAATATCATCCTGGACCAATCCCCACAGTTAGCAAGCATGGGGATGACTTTGAAGAAGAAAGCGGTGATGGTTCAGTTTTAATAACTACTGCCAGTTTTGACCAATATGCTCATCAGTAATTACACAATTCTCACATACCTTATTTTCAGCATCTCTTTGTTCTGTATTCAATAAAATGCAGTGGCCTTAAAAAAATAATGCATGTTGACAATTAGTTTTATTTTTCTTGTTTTCTTATTGCAGATCATCACCTAAATCTCCACTCTTAGCTAACAAATAGCCGCTTGTATTGGGTGCTTGTGCTTAAAGTTAGTAGCCTGCTATGTCCATCAGTTAGATTAGAATGAACTTTTGATCAGATGAGGCCATGCCTCATATCATTGTTCACTAGGGAATTTTAAACCTATTAAAGCCTAATTATTAGGATATTGGTGTTAATAGATTAACATCAACTAGAGGCTTGTTTTAATTTCATATTTTTCTGAAACAACCTCTTTGTAATAGCTAGCCATAGTGAGGTTGCCTCCATCGTGGTTTGTGGGCAATGTTTTTGGAGCATTAAAACATTATCTCAGCTTTTTAGAGGTGGGATTGCATAAAGTAATTGAAGAAATTGTTTTGAGGGAAATTCAAATTCTATTTCATTCATTAGAATCATTATATATATATATATATATATATATATATATTCTCTATGAGAATAAACAGAAAAAGAAGGACATTTAATATAATTAATTATAACAAATAGAAGAGGAAAGTCATTTAATCTAATTGATTCTAATAATTATATCTCACGAATCTTAAAATCAATCTGACAGATCTTGGTGTCAGAAGAGGAAATCTCCCACTACAGCGCACGAATTGTTAACCTATCAAAGCCGTGGGCCCCCTCGTTGACGTGTGATTCAACACTCCCCCTAAAGTTGGGTTGTACAGGTTGTACAATCCTAACTTGCAAACAAACTTATCAAATAGAGAGCCCGGTAGCGCCTTTGTTATAACATCGGCAAGTTGTTCATGAGTTGAGTATATACAACTTTACTATATATATATATATATATATATATATATATTATAATATTAACATGTCATATTGTATTTATTTTAAGGAGTTCGTCCATTCATTTGATAGACATGTCATATTTAGGTGGTTTGATTGTTATTAGAAGAAAAATATCAATTTAAGTTTTCATCTTCTCCTTTTTTTTGCCTTTGTATTAGTGTTCCATTCGGAAATGCATTACTATTTTAACATCTTTACAAGCATTAGATACTGTTGCATCTTTTTTTATTCATTTGGATGCATATATTCACACAGAATTTACTATTAATTATGATAATTATAAGTTTATGAAAGATGTAAATCAAAGTTATTAAAATTCAAATCATGTGTTAAGGTAATAGTTTGTCTAAACCCATAGAAATTTTAGATTGAAGTACTTAAAAATTAAATGCTAAAAAAAGGGATTATATAAACTCATAAAAATTTTGGAAGAGTGCTTATAATTTTTAAATCCTAGGAAATTCTAGTACTTCTTAGTTTTTATTATATCTGATTTAATCTTATGTCAAACAATTGTTGGAGCCAAGATTTTTCAAATTAGAAAACATTTGTCCAAATCTTAAAGTTTACAATGGCTGAGAGCCTGAGAACACATTACATTGAGATGAAAGATGAATTTTTAATTTATTAAATTCTTTTTTATTTTTTAAATTTCAGGAGTTTTATTGTTGTAAAATTCTAAATGTACATATGCTTATGATGTTACCTTTTCATGAAAGTCAGTTTTACAGGAATTTTTGATTTTTTTTTGCACGGATTCCCTTATACCATCAGTTATTTTCTTCATCTTTTGTTGTAATTGGAATTTAACGACTAATCTTATATTTGTGTAAAGAATATTAACTAAACAATCCATATGAGTCAAATTTTAGTCAGCAGAGTTTATTGGTGCAGCTTGTTTTGAGCTGTGAGTTTTGAAGGCTTTTGTGTTTGCTACAATGGAAGATTTTTAATTTGCGTTGTTTTGTTTGCTGGTGGAGGTGGTGTTTTATCCTGTAGTCAAAGTGTTCCAACAAGTTGTTTTTCTACTGGTTTTATTACTGCTTTGGGCGATCACATTCAGGATTATAATTCTTGCTAGAAATTTGCAAGATTTTTGGTTGATGTCATTTCATGATCTTTTTTTTTGCAACTTTGGTGCTTTTTTGTTTGACGGATATGAAAATTAAGGGGTAGTTTGGTTTGAAGTAAAATGAGTGTAAAATATTCGATTTTGAGAATATTAGTGTTTGGTTTGATTCAAAATTAATGCAGTGGGCATATTTGAAATTCTCAGATTTGGGAGATTTCCAAATACACAATAAATTCATTGTCATTGTCATCGCTCGCTGCGAGCTGCCATCATTGCTTCCCGCCACTGCCGCTGTTAGCTGCCACTCTTTGGTCACCACCACTATCACTGGTCACCATCCACCTCTGACCACCACCACTCACCTTCGGCAATTGCTGACTGCCACCACCGCCAACCACTGCCTCTTGCCGCTACCCACTGCTTCTTGCCGCCACTGCCGCCATTACTGGCCACCAACTGCCACCTTCTTTAGACTTTATATTGCATTCATTTTACTTCATGCTGAACAAAAAAAAAAAGAGTCTTTTATGCAATCCTTTTACATTCACCCAAACAACTCCAAAGTATTCATTTTACATTGCATTCTTTTTTCGGCCAACAAAACAGCCCCTAAGAGAGTTTCTAATTATAAAATGGTGTCTGATCATGTAGAAAACATTCCAATTATGTTTTTGAATAATTTTTTTGGATGTTCTATTGATGAGGACATCGAAGATCAATGGCTACGATCGTGTCTATTTATTTTGATGTATTTTATTTGTTATTTGTACTTTTTTCTTTCTACCCTCACTTGAGGGCTTCGTTTTATGTTTGCCCTAGGGGCAATTGTGTCTTATTATTTTCCTTCATGTATTTGACTATTTAAGCCCTCCCCTTCCTCTTGGAAAGGGGATGATGAATATTGATATGAAAATTTTGGTTTTGGATCTCTTTGTGAGTTCTAGAGTTCTCTTTGTGAGTTCTCAAGTGAGGAAAGCCTAGGAGAGGCTCCACCCGAAGTACCCAACATCCACCTTGGTGAGCTCTTGGTTTTATTTTATATTTTTGTTGTTTTCTCCTTCCCCACTCAATCCCTCATCCACTCGACCCGTCCCTTTTCCCCCTCCCCCTCTTCCCGTCTCTCATCAACCGTCCTAGCCCAAGCAGCCAAAACCCGCCGACTCACCCCACCTGTCCCCCCCCCCCCATTGCCGCCGGCTGTGCTAGCCGTCAGCCCCAGCCAGGCCGCCGCCTCCCTACTAGCCCCGCCCCCTCTGCCCAGGAGCAAATCCCGCCGGCCCTCTTCAGGGAAATTTGAATTTCTCTCATTACAACCTCGTTAATTCTTTCCTAAATAACTCACCACAATTAAGAAAGGATTTAATTGAGCCCTCATCTAGTTTGAATTCAAATTTTGAATTCCCCTCTTCTTTTCCCATTAAAACCAAAACTTCCCTAATTAATTAAAATCTGAATTTAAAATCAGATTTTAATTAGTTCCTTGGGCCCCACCAATTCACCAAACCCCCTCCTCTCCTTCTCTCCTTGCTTGGCCGGCCACCCCATCTAACCTTTTCTCTCTCCACTTGCCACCTAAGCCTCCACTAATTCAATGCATTAATTGTAATTGACTTGGATTTCAAATTTTATAACCTCCTCCACCCCAATCAATGCATTAATCATCCATTAATTTGAAATCGAATTTCAAATTAACTCCCTCCAAAATTTGTCAAAATCTTAAATCAATTTCAGTTTTGACATTAATCCCCCTCTTCTAGCCTTGAGAATTAATGTGAATTCCAAGGTAATTCCTGCTGCCATTCACAGTAGGAATCCTTGGAAATCTGAGATTTTCCCCGCCAAGCTATCGCTCAGGTTTCCGGGCAAGTCCTGTGATTCGTCCAAAGGGTTCCTGGCCTTACAAGCTGCTGTCCCTGGCTGTCCTGTTGCTGTCCAGTTGCTGTCCAGAATTTTGTAGTCCGGAAAACTGCTGTCCAGCATCCCGGAGAACCAAAATTGTTGTCCGGAATCTACTCCAGGCCACCTGCTTGCTGTCCAAAGACTCCAGTAAGGATTGTGGCTGTCCAAGTCATCCAAGAGGCTGTCAAGCACCACCTACTTCCGATCCAACCAACAAAGCACCACCGGAACGTTGTATTACTTCATTCCTTGGGTGAAACTCTTTCCCTAACGCTCTTATCTTCCTAGTTTACTTTTCGTTTATGGTTATTAATGGATTCATGAAGATTATGTCAATTATTCGCCGCTAGAACCTAGTAATAGGAAGAGTTGTGTGAGGGATCTTTCATAGACTAATCTTATTGTTAGTATTGGAATTTATTATTGGAACTATCCATGTAGGCAATGTCGGATTAAGCTGGCTATCTTTTTTTGAACTTAACTGCTATCCATGTGAATTAACCTAAGCTAAGTACCACTTAATATTTATCTTATCGTTCAATTCCGCATAAGATCTTGCTTATTATTACCTCTAAATCTAAACGTGCAAATTTTTTTAAGCAGATCACTTTCGCATGGATTGTTTTATATCATCTATTCTTTCTGGTTTACTTTTACATAGAGTTTAGGGTGAGGTATTTAATTGTACTAGCAAGAGGTTTGGTATTGTGACTTATGTTCCTTCTATGTTATTTTTTTTCAAAATCTTGTTATTGGTTTATGTTAGTGATTGAAATCATTTAAGTTGGATACAATCTATCATTTTTTGTAAGTTTATGGTTTTAAATTAATTGTGTGATTTTTTTTTGTGTTTCCGGACTTCTAAACACCGTCTCTGTAGAAATGATTGAATAATCATGTGTAAAATCTTTTCACACTTTTGGTTTAATTTCAAGAAATAATTAATCATTCAAATTAAGAGTTTATGAACTGCTAATTTGCATGTACTTCCATGATTTTGTGCATCTCATTATAGATCTGCAATATTTTAGATCTTAAGATGTCTTGCATCGCTTTTTAACACCATCTATAACCTTGATTGATGTTGTAAAAATCCTAGATTCTTAATGGATATCCGTATTAGCAAGACTTGCATTAAACTGATTACAGAGCCTTTTTCCCCCTTATATTTTAAAGTATGCTAATCTTTATATATACTAGGGCTTGCCCCTCATAGGTTTTCATTTCTTTTCACTGTAGATTCTGGTATTTATGGAACTGAATCGAAGCTACTTGTTCAACTCAAATTTATTTTATTGCTTACGCTTTATGGAGGCAAATAATTCGCAGTTATTTAAGTTTCTTAACTACTAATGGCTTAGGAATCACCTTTATCATTCCCTCGCAGATATGCTATTCTCGCTGTCAACTTCTATGCGCCATGGTGTTATTGGAGCAATCGCTTGGTACTTCTTTCATGTTTTTCTTATATCAATTATCTGATTATAAGTTATGTTACATAGATGATGCAGTAGAAATTTAGATTTTGAACTGAATTTCTGAGATAATTGCAATTATTTTTTGCAATGCTAAAAGCCAAAGTAGGTATCCTATATGTGTATCATCAATAATATGTGTAGGGTCAATTCGGGTTCTATTCCTCAGTTGCCCATGAATGACGACTACACAATCTGATTGCTTTATGCATACAGTCTTAGAACTAATGGCTGTAATTTTTTTTTTATCTTGCTCACCGTAATTGCATCATACCAAAATCCACTCAGGTTTATAGCAATATAGTTTCTCATGTGTTTTTGGCAGTCTTGTTGTTACGTCATTTTGATTAGTTATTCTTGTGTTTCCTTGGCTACTAGAACCAACATTGAGAGGAAAATTGTCATCTTGGTGGAAAGAGCTGTGCATATTCATAAACCATAAGCTTCAGTAATTGCACGGCACATCAAAATCAAATTCTGTCAACGGAAGGGTGTATTTCGGACTGGACATGTAAGGAAGGGCATGTGCCCTCCTAAATTTTTAATATGTCCTTATGATAATGGATATACACCAATATACCTCTTATAGTTGATGTTTCCCATGCTAAACATTCATTACATGCCCCTTAAATAATTTTTTAATTTACGACCCCCATTAAGAAAAAAATATTCCAAGGAAAAGGTTTACATATCAATACTGGATCACCATTTTCTGTGCAGATTGACTGAGCCTTTTTGTATTAGGTATATTGTTGTGCATATTTAACAGCATGTTCACTTATCTTTCTGAGATTTAAGTCTCATAAATTGTTTAAACATTTTGGTTCAGATCAAAGGTTCAAAAGTTTCTTTTATCCTCTTGTTGAATAAGTAAAACAAATATGAGAAATATCAGACCTACCTGCCATCGTTAAAGCATTACTTCTGATACTAAAGGGAAACAATAGAAGATGCCATCTTTATAATGCTGACCTTTTTGTCATTCACTGCTGTCACCATTTTGAATTTAAGCGGTGTATATGTAAATGATACTGCCATTCCGGTTCTAGATTCTGGACTTTCCTGTTTTTGGTTATCTGTTTTCTGAATTTTATAGTAGAGCATAAAATTTGCTTGGAGTCCTAGCATAACATGAAATGTGTCCTATTATTTCATTCAAAATTTATGACATTCTATCATTTACTTATAGAGACCAGCATGGGAGAGGACAGCTAAAATCATAAGGGAAAGGTAGCCTTTTTATTTATGCATGGTCTCACTTGGATACCAACTCCCTCTTAATCACTTAACTGGGAAAAGTTCTCATGTTTTGCTTTTAACTGTTCAGATATGATCCTGAAGTGGATGGGCGGATTCTTATGGGGAAGGTGGACTGTACTGAACAAATTAATCTATGTAGGAGGTAAATCCTTTGAAACATATGAGAGGACACTTCTGATAATTAATATCTAGTATCAGTTTATGCAGAGTTGATTTCCTATCATCTTTTAACATAACAGTTTACCATGACTGCATTATAATCTGATACTCATATGTATATGTAAGTGAAACTTGACCATGAACTTCTTTTTGATAAAATTTGTTAGGCATCACATCCAAGGCTACCCATCTATCCGCATTTTTCGTAAAGGAAGTGATGTTAGGTATGGATTAATTTTTTATTTAATCTTAGGAATATTTAATTATTATATTTTAGATGAATTCCTTTCCTACACCGATCATATTTCTTGGCTTGAAATTTTTATTTTACTTGTGCGGGATGAAAACTGTTACATTCTGCTTTAGTCAACATGTGCAAATTAATAGCTAGGCTATTAATTCCTTAAATTCTATCTTTATAGCTAACTAATTCTTCTAATCAGTTTGCAACTTTGAAGCAATTAATAATTTATAGAGTTTGTTCTTGTAAAGATTGTAGTGTATGCAAAGATGATGGTGTAGAACTTAAACTTTATGTTTGCTTCCTGTGTAATTTATTCCTTTGTTTTTGATCTTAATTGCACATATTAAGGAGATTATGGAAGCAGATGGTGGTCAATTTGGCTCATTTATGCATGCGCATATCATTACAGCCACAAATGCTGAGAGATGGAAGAGGCTGTCATTTGAGTAATGCAACACATTATTTATATTCAGGGGCGACTTTAAGGTCAACAAAAAGCCACTGATCCAATCTAAGATTTTATCACTATAAGTTGATTCAATAGGTCTTGTCATTGCCAGGAAATTTCATGCTAGTAATCCTAAACTGGCGCTCACAAAAAATGGTCATCTTATCAAAATTTTAAGCCCAAACAATAAGCCGGTCTAGTAAAACTTTTGGCCCTAAACATCCATCAAAAGTGGGTGGATCAACCTTAATCATCAAAGTAACGACTTCTCCGCTATGCTGCACAGACAATTTTCCTCAAAGAGGCGTGTAGTGTCCGACACGTATCCGGCACGACACGCGTCCGACAGTTCTCCGACACATGTCAGACACACCGAAAATGTGTCAAATTAAAAAAATATTAAATACAAATTGGACACTCATGTCCGACACACGTATATTAACTATTTTATGAATTTTTAAAAAAATAATTTCTTGTATTTAAAATTTTTACTTATTTAAAATATAAAAACTAAATTTCTTATTTCTTATCCATAACACCAACTTAATTGCCTGCACTTAATACCCTATTTATAGAATATTCTCATTTTCATTTCTCTTTGGTGAGTTACGACTTTAATTTCACAACAATGTACGATGTCATCTCAACATCGACTTCTGACGTCATTACAACCTCAACATTTCAAAATGATCTCCATATCAAAGTCTTACAGCGTCTTACATTGATGTTCGGTGCTAGCAATTTCTACACCTACAACTTGACATCTCATCTTTGTCCAACGCTTTCTCAACATCGACGACCAACGTCTCTCAACATCGACGTTAAATGCCCTCTTAACATTAACGCCCAATATTTACTGCATAACATCAACGCCCGACTCTCGACAGCATTGTCATCTCTTCTCTCGATGATCGATAAACGACATCAACGTCCGACTCTCGATATCCTAATTTTAATCATTTTAAGCGCAAATTCTAGTAAAATGACTTATTATTTTTAAAATTATATTTATTCAAATTTTATTCATTATTTTCAAAATATAAAAACTATAATACCGTATCCAACCCGTGTCCGTGTTTTATATTTTCAATAATTGACATGTCTCTTGTCCGTGTCGTGCCATATTCGTGTCGTTGTGTCCGTATCTGTGCATCATTGCTTCTCAAGAAGTGCCAATATGATGACAATAATAGGAGAGTTCCATGGAGATTCCCTCAAATGGCGCTAGAATGCTCAGAGGTTTACTAGATGGGTCTAGGAGGTGCACATAATTGGCGTTACTTGGCCTAGGAGAGTTCTAGGTGAAATTTAGCATTGGTTTGCCTAGAATGTAAGATGCGAAAAGACTTTTTATGATTTTGGTTTTAGTAGTCTTGATAAGTGTTAGGATTGCTTAAGGGCCTAAGATTGAGCTTTGTGTCTAGATTGACCATTAAGGACTAGATTGGGCTTTGGATCAGCTAGTACATGGTTTATAGCTTTGAGCAAGGGTTGCCAATATTCTCCTAGCCCTTTAAGGAACCTATGCCATCAACTAAGTGAGGTGATAAGGGGCCCATCTAAAGAGGTTAAGATCTTAGCTAAAGGAATTCATAAGACTAGGGCTCCATAGTCTGAGTGCTTAAAGGTAGGATTTAGATTCTGATACCTCGAATGGTCAAAAGAGAGGTCGACAATTGGCTAAGCACCCAAGTTTAATTTTGTTGTCTCCCAATTGATATAAGAGTTTTGATGAGTCACCATCTCAACATAATCACTTAAATATGTGATACATCGAAACCAATATGAAACCAACTTAATTAAATGGGCCGCAATGCCTACAAGGCAAGGTTATAACCTACCATATGGGCCACATGCGGAGGATATTTATTGTTCGGATTCTGTGCTTATATGTACCACCTCAAATGGTATAAGCACATTTTTGACTATGAGTTAGAGAGATAAATATATATTTGAAATATGATTATTTTTGTAACTGAGTATTACATGAGAAATGCTATGCTATCTTGAAAGATGGAAATAACATTCTGTTACAGACTTAAGAACAAAAATAATAAAGTTTTTGAAACTATTGCGCTCAAAGATTTTTTTCCCTATCTAATATGATTGAATTGAATATTTTTTTTCTTCAATATGCAATAGAAGTTTTTTCATGAGGGTAAGCTCCTATAGTTAATTATGTACAACAACAACAACAACAACAACATCAAGCCTTTATCCCACTACGTAGGGTTGGCTACATGAATCATTTTTCTCCATTGTGTCCTATAGTTAATTACATCTTTAAAAAAATTTATCTTCATAATAATATACTTGTTTAAAGTAGTGGCAAATATTTTTATGATTTTTCAAAGTTTAGTTGAAGGATGTGATTTTTGAATTTGCAAAATGAGATTGGCTTAATTTTGGAATTGAATTTTCTAAGGAAGCCGAAGGAGTAGATGTAGGAGTATTGCATTATTGAGATATTCAAAAATGCTCAAAATTATCCTAAATTGGGGTTTAACATTTCATAGTTTAATTCTGAGTTTGATTTAAATAAGGGCATTGACCTTGAATCTTTAGATTTAAGGTGAGAACCACCACTAAGGTAGCAATTCGATCCGGATTTGAGGGACTTTTAAATTGAAATTGCACAAATTGTTAAGAAATCATGACACATTAGTCTGAAAAGGTTGCCAACTAAATCCATCTAAGCATTTTGAAAGCCATGATACAATTGTCTTCATATTAATGCAAGATAGACTAGGCTATTTGAATCTAAGAAATTTGCATTTTAACTTGCCACTAAAACTAAGCAACCCAACCATGTGAGTGTCGATGCATACTCATTAACAAATGTTTCTTTACTTATTTATTCTTAATATAGGATGGGCAATTATTTATAATATGTGACTCATAAAGCTTGCAAATTTATTCATTAGCCCAAAATGAGGGCTTGGTTCTACTTTAAATTGAGTAAATTCTTGTGGATAAGATTTTTAATCAAATATAGTTAGTACATTAAGGCCATAAGGAGGTTTATTGATTCATTTAGTTTGAAAACTTGGCTTACATGAATAATCCATGTAAGTTTTCTATGAAAGCATTTTTCCCTGTGATTGATTTTATGTTTACATTTGGGATAAAAAAATGTAGGTCTTTGAAAGCCTATAAATGCATTAAAATTCTAAGCCAATTACAATCATAATGAATAAACCTACAAAAAAAGCTAATGCATTTCTATGCATCATCCAAAGTAAATTAATTATTTAATATATTAAATAAACATAATGCATAGAAGGGCTAGGTTGCAACTGAGTTTTGCAATAATGCCAATCAATGAAAACTATAATAAGGTAGTTGGGCTTGGCTATAATATATTTCAACCTAGACTTTTAAATATACTTGGTATTGTGGTGTGGGCTCCAAAAATTTGGCCCCAGCCTCCCCCGCTTGTTTTCTTCGGGAGTTTTAACGGATTAAGTTTCGGGGTAAATTTTGGAAAGGCAGATTGAGTTTGATGATAACACTGCCATTCTAATCCAAATTAATTGATGGAGATGAGTGAGACATTTGAATTCAAATTAACAAAAAAATAAGAGGGGGGGGGGGGGGGGGGAAAAATTAGATAGGGAATGATGATGGATTGATGTGGAGCTTTAATGGGCCTCATAATTAGATGAGAGAGAGAGAGAGAGAGAGAGAGAGAGAGAGAGAGAGAGAGAAGAGGGGGCAGCCAAAAGAGGAAGGGGAGGGGCCCACATGATTTAATGTAGATTTGAGAGAATTAATGGGCTTAAATGAGTTGCCAATCTAAGCCAAATTAAAATAAGAAAAAAGAATTTAATACAATTATCTCTCTAATTTAAATTCAAATTTAAATGGCCTTGATTGGAGGAACATTCCTAAAATAACTAATCTTATTTAAGGAAGGAATTTCAAATTCAAATTTGAATTAATTGACCTTCCAAATTTACAATGAGATAATTTAGGAAAGTAATAAATGCATGGATGAATTTGGATCCAAGGGAGGGTTGATGGGGCGGCGGTTGGATTGGGGTCGGCCTAGGGCGTGGGGTGGAGTTCGGCCAAGGGAGGAAGGGGAAAGGTGGGGGTCAGCTTAGGGTTTGGGTGGGAAATTTTGGCCAAGGGAAAAAAGAAAGGGGGATGGGGCGGCGGCTAGGAGAAATAAGGAGAATAAGTTGGGGGAGGAGACGGGCCACGATCCCGGACGTTTCCTGCAGCTGATGGGTAATACATTGCCCTCACCTAGGGATTTCAACTCTCCAAAAACTCTCAAGCTCTCAAACACCAAGTGCATAATTTTTCTTCTCATCATAATCATCTTTCTCCTTCAAAGAGGAGAAGGGGGCTATAAATAGCCAAAATACAATAATAATTCTAAAGACGAAAGTGCCCCCTGGGGTCACATGAACATACTCCCTCAAGTGAGGGTAAAAACGAGAAAATACATAAATAAATCAAATACAAATAATAACTAAAAAATAAAGTGGTCCAATCATGACCGTAGATCTTCATCCTCTTATCTGATAAACTTTTCACGGTCGGATGTCCTCATCATCTAATTAGTAGGTTGGCCTCAATCCAACACCCTACACACACCCTAAAAAATCCTTGCTCATTTTTTTATGAAATGGAATGAAGTTATGAAGATAACTTTGGATCTTCAAAACTACTCATTAAAGATCATTATTAATGCAAGCTTTAAGCCGGCAATCAAATCCCACATGAATCATTATTTAACGAGCCTTCTTACATTCAGACATGTGCGGTTTCCACCTCTAGCTTCGCCGTAGTTTTATAACAATCATTTGGCCTCTGTCATAACTCACAATCGAGCCACCATCAATGCCATAAATGTAAACTACAACTTGATAATGCAACCATCGACTTACATGCAATAACTCTGCCAACTTATTTTGGAATATTGTGTTGACTTCATCTGATATCGGAGGGAGGATCTTTTTTATTTTCATTTATAATTGTGAAAGTTATTTAATGCAAAGCCTTGTGATTTTACTCTTCTTTGGTTCTCCATGTAAGAAAAAAGTTCTTTTCTCTTTTTATCTAATCATTTGTGCGAGCTCTTAAAAAGATAAGGTGATCAAGATCCATTCACTCTCACCACTTGATTTCTTGCTTGCACACAACAAGGAACCCATTGTCCACGATTTATGCTCCATATCACGTCAAGCTATGAAAAGCGTATGAAGGCATGCTGAGGAATAGACATCTTGGAGTAGATTTGAAATGTTTTGCTAGTGTTCCATGAATCCCCAAATAATATTTTCTTATTTTTTTTCCTTTTTAATGTTGTATTGACAATCGCATGATCAACGAAAAACAATCTTATGTTGTGTATATATACTAATTGGTATCTGGTTGCTAATACTTAGTGCAAGTATTAAACTATGCAGATGTCTATTATACATTTATAAAGCTATAGAAGCACAAATTGGATATAGTATGAATATAGTCTTGTTCTTGTTTTATATCTATTGGTTTCAATGAATTGACAATAAAATAACATTTGACACAGGGAAGATCATGGACATCACGAGCATGAATCTTATTATGGAGAGAGGGATACAGATAGCTTGGTTGCGGTATGCTTGCCAGAAGTCTTTTCAGAAGTGTAGTTATTATTCTTTGATTAAATCTATGCTCGTGTGATCTTTTTTTGTTCATTTCTTATGCTGTATTAGTAGTTGTTAAGGACTAGCTAATGATTCTAATGCTTTTTGGGTGGTAGGCAATGGAAACACTAGTAGCTAGTATTCCAAAAGTGTTTCGTGAGCTGGCATTGGAGGACAAATCTGAAGCACAGAATGATTCCGTAAAACGCCCTGCACCATCAACAAGTGGATGCAGAGTAGAAGGTTTCGTACGTGTTAAGAAGGTACTTCTTTTTTATTGCTCTTATTTTCCTTGTTGTTGGAACGCGTGCCTTTCTAGATGGTACCTTGATTAAAATTTGATGGACTAATATTTGGAGATCTAGCATAAACGGCAATGGTTTGTTAACCTATGTATATGCTGCCATTTAATGTTTAGTTTGAAAATAATGTACAAAAGTAAAACTCCTTTGTGTTAGAAATAAAAAGAAAAGAAAATTGTGAATTTTAACATCGAATCTTTCAATTTCTTCTTATGCTATTGAATGATTCTATTTGTAAGGAAGACGTTTAGTAGGGACTTGAACAGCATTGAAACAATTGGGGCATTGTTCATTGAATCTTTATGAGTTTTCCTTTCCAATTTTTATCACTTCAGCAAATTGCAGAATTGCAAGAAAATACCAAAATGTGAGACAAGCTGTGGGTTATTGGTTGTAATAATCTGACAACATAATAAAGAGGACCTCATAGATGTTGATGAGCTCATTTTAGTTTTGACCCACTTTCATCTCGAATTATCCTTAAAGAAGCATAAGGGTTTCAAAATATGACTTTATAGCGTTGCCTTTAGACATGTTATGATAATAATTTAATACTCAATTTATCCTTTATATAAGTGAATGATTTAAATGTGTTCTTTTGTGCAATGTGGCAGGTAGGGATGCTAAAACAGGTCGACGGGTCGGGTTCGGATTGAACCCGAGTTGACCCGGGTCTAAACGGGTCAACCCAAGCCGGACCCATTTTTGCAAATGGGTCAAGTATTTCAACCCGGACCCGACCCACGTGGGTTATCGGGTTGATCCGACATGACCCGCCAACCCGTCTAATTCAAAAAATGGGAGAGTGCGACATCTGACACTCAGGCGAGGCAGCCCGGAGGCCGGCGGTGCAGGCGCGGCCTGGTGGTGTGGAGCCGACGTCGACCACGAACGGGTCGGACGGCGAAAGGACACCTCGTCCAGGATGCAATTGGGTCGATGCAGACTACAAAAGTGCGGACCGGACGTGACTGGGTCTCATGATCGGATGGCTGATGCGAACGACGGACAAAGTGCAGAGGACCGGACGCGAGGACCGGACGCGACTGGGTCTCGTGAACGTACGACTGACGCTAATGGCAGACAGAGTGCGGAGGATCGAACGCGACTGGGTCTCATGACCGGAAAACTAACGCGAACGGTGGATAGACTGGTGGCATCTCTTTTGACGCGACGGACGAATGTGACTGGTTCGATATTGTTGCGACGCATTGACGGACTGAAACGGCGGACAAATTTCCTAGGTCAAATTGGGTCGACCCGTAGGTTGTCGGGTCAACCCGAACCCAACCCGTTTTTCAAACCGGTCAGAAATTCGAACCTGGACCCAACCCGTTTGTGAAACGGGTTGACCCAAACCTTGATTTTTTCGGGTCGGGTTTTGGGTCGTGTCAAATTTTGACACTCTGGGTGGCAGGACTTGTGCTCCCTCTCATTTGTTTTCTTGCCCCCTACTCGTACATTCACTTGATTGCTTTTACGCATGCCATGGGTGGATCCCCATAGTCTTGAGGGGGGGCAAATGCCCCCCCTAATTTTTTTTTTTTAAATTTTAGAGGAGATTGTTTGGAATATTTTGGATATTTTAGTTATTTTGCCCCCTCTCAAAAAAAAAAAAAAATTTGCTCTTATTTTATCAATCCTAAGCATCTTTGCCCATCCCCCACCAAAAAAATTTTTTTTGCCCGCCCTCAAAAAAGAAAGCTGGATCCGCCCCTGACGATGCTCTTTTCCATGCTCGGTAGCTCCCACTGGCCACTACTTGCATGCTTGCTCATGTCACTATGCTCCTTTACTTTGCTACTTTTGTGCCCATGCACTCTATTTCCTTCTATCTTCTGGATTGAATCCTTTCAAAAACTTATCTTCTACAACAGTAATTTACCTAACAAATTTTGATAGTGCAAATTCAAACATCCAAAAGGACATCAAGGGCATACATTGAAGTCGGATAGATCTCATGGTTGATAGAGGCAAAGTTCATGAAGGAAACCTAACATTTGGAACGCCATCTATTCATGGAAGGTCAACTGTGTTCTATGTTAGGTTTTGATCTCTATTGAATTCAGGTATCGTTGAGGCATATAAAAATTTTGTTAGAAATTGCATTTCCTGCATCGCTACTTACCTTGTAACACTAATTACTCACGACTAATTAACTCGAAAAATTTCTAAAACTACCTGTTGTGCTGCACTCCTGCATAACATGTTTGAGAAAATTTATGCATTTTTAAAAAATTAATTTAGTTAAAACTTAGATTTTTGTTTAAACTGGATATATTAATTAATTTTTATTTTGTTAGCCTTCTATGGTTTATATTGACAAAAGTATTATAATATTGCATACTAAAATTTTCTGTAAGTGACGTACTTCAATTTGGAATGCATTTTATGCCATATTTGATTTAATATAATAAATTAGGTTTATATTATTTTACTATATTTTAATATTTATTTATTTATATTAAAATTTCTAGATTTGTTAGGTTTTTTTGATTTAAGTTAGAATGAATTATCTTTTTTTGGATAACTTAGGTTTCAATTTAAATTATTTAGGATTAAATTTAGTTTTGAATATGCTTAGATTTGATTTATTTTTTTACTCTATTTCTATAAAAAGATATTCATTTCTTGTATTGGATTATTTGTTAATTGATTGATTTGATGAAAGAATTGTCGTTCTTACTAATTATGAGTGTTCTTTCTTAACCTAAATTGTTTTTGTGGATTGCGCTAAGTTGTATATGTGGAGTTATTTTTTTGTTATCTTCACTTTTCTTTATGCCAATCAAGCCTCTATCAATTTCCTAACACTTTTGCATCGTGTTGTTACTTATAAGTAACTAAAAAAGGTATTAGATGCCTCAATACCAAAGCCCCTACATGGGGTCCTAGTTGGGTACCCATGCTCTGCGCGGGTGGGCTTCGCCCACCACTCAAATTTTCATTTAACATTCGAGTATTTATAAAAGTGATGAAGCTTTTTCGATTAGTTAATCAATTAATCACCAAAAATTTCCCAGTTGATCTAGAATTGATTCTTCTCTTCTCTGATCCCTACACAATGATAGATGGGATAAAAACCTGACACTTTCCCTTAAGGCGCATTACCCACCTCATAGGCTACCTAGAAATGACATGACACATTATTATAAAAGCCATCATCAACATAGGGTTGATGATTCTTATAGATGGCTCAAAGTTGATTGTTCTTTCTTTAATGGCAAACATAACTTTGATGCATATTTTGATTGGATTATAGACATTGAGAATTGTTTTTATATTGATGGATACCTTTGAGCATATGAAAGTCCCTTCTACTAATGTCAAATTAATTGGATCTACTAAATGTTTTTTATGTCAATTTTTTAGTTAGGAAATGACCTGAAGACAACCAACCCCTGATAATTAAAATGAAATGAAATAATGGTTGCAACATAAAGATATTCCTATATATCATGGGGAACAACTTAATCCATAATTTACATGATGGGTCTCTTACTATGATTGTATATCTAAATAAAATTGATGAACTTACATCAAGATCTGAAGTTAATGAAGCTGATTGGCTGACGAGAATAAATGACCTCAAATTTAACATTCAAGCTGAAGTAGAACCTCATCATCCTGTTATATCAGAGGATGCCTTGACAGAGCCTTAGAAATGGAAAAATAATTGAAAAGAAAAGAAAATAGACCACTTTTAGAACGTCCTAGATTTAACATGCCAACACAATATAGACAACCCATTCGATAAACACAACCGGTTCTTGAGATTGTCCCTACTTCCTCTAAAGGTTGGCCACCTGTAAAAATTGTGAAATAAACCTAGATGTGTCAATTGTTATTAAATTGGTGACTCTGCATCTTTATGCCCTCATCATGCTTGTCAGTGGTCTCACAGAAGCCTATAACTATAAGGGAAGCTGCCCAAGGAAAGCTTACGAAAATGATGGGACGTTGGTCTAATTCTAGGAATGCGATGTTTACAGTCTGAAGGACTAACTCATTTGTCTAAATAGAATAGGTGGTCTACTTGGGTCTAAGGAAAAGATGGATGATTGTCCATATGAAGATGTCGAAGATAATGAATCATAATTTGGTGATGAGCAGTTAGACTTTGATGAATCTCAGAATTATTTAGTTGTTATAATATTGTTATTTATCAGCATCCATGTCGATCCTAATTATAATAAAAAAAGACCCACCTTTTCTATTTTTATGCTTACTGTAGTAGCAAGAGATATAAAATAGTTATTGTTTGTGGGAGTACTATCAATGTAGTATCTAAAATAACCTTGGCTTGATGAAATCTAAAGGTTTAGTTATAACCTATTCAAATGTTGCATGGGTCAATAAACATCATCACTCATTGCCTATTTTTTTCATTATTGAAATTCAACTTATACGAGAAACCTTGTTATCCTATAATTTTTTTGTCAAAATTATATTATTTACAAGAATTAACTAATTAATTATTTATTTTGAGCAATTATCCCATTTAAATCTATTTGATCTATAAAACTTGTTTAAATATTTATTATTTTCATTTAAAAAATTAACAAAGAATCTTCTCATTAATGTTTTCAATTAGTTAAAAAATAAAACATGGTTAGTTAAAAAATAAAACATGGTTGATTTAAAAATAACTTGCCATAGGCAAGGTGTGAGTTTGTAATTTTTATTCTGATTATCTATTTTCTTCGGCTTCAGAGAATTTGAATTTCAATGTTTTGGTTGTAAGTTGTAACTGTTGTGCGAAGTGATGTATGGGTGAAATGATACAGAGGAAGATTTGTGTGTGTGTGTGTGTGTGTGTGTGAGTAGAGCGTTTTCTGAATGGGATAACATGCACGGAAACTGCAAATAATTAAAAAGAATATGGAATAATGCAGCTTTTGAAATAGCCAGGGAATTAGTGAGAAGAATCCAAGATAATATGGGCTCTTCATTTTTTCTATCATGTCACACCTCTTAATTTTTATCCTATAATCCTTGGAACATTTGTTGTCTTGAATTTAGTGTTCTTAGTTTTGACCTTTTTTATTTACTGAATTAATATGTTTTATTCTAAACTGTGCAGGTCCCTGGTAACCTAATAATCTCAGCACGTTCTGGTGCACACTCTTTTGACGCATCTCTAATGAATGTCTCGCATGTTATTTCTCATTTTTCATTTGGAAAGAAGCTCTCTCAAAGGATGCATTCTGAAATGAAGCGGCTTACCCCACTTCTTGGTGGAAGCTATGATCGACTAGCTGATAAATCTTACATAATTAGTCATGATGACAATAAAGCAAATGTCACTGTAAGTATTTGATTATTCTTCACTGTTTCAATTAATATATATCTTAGTCTATTTAAGAGAAAATGATCAAATTTGTTCCTTGACTTTTTATGAAAGACAAAAATAATTTTACCATGGCATTATTTTGATTCCATTTTGAAGACTTAACGGATCAAAATAGTTCCCAACTATATTAAAGGATCTTAAAATAATCAATTTGGTCTTTCATAAAGGATTGAGGGACCATTTTGATCCTTTTCTTATCTATTAAATAACCAAAATGATCCATAGACATTTTAGACGTATTCATTTCAGTTCATGACTTTTTTCAAGTGTCCAATTTATTCCTTTAACTCTTAAAACATGAATAAATTTAGTTATACCGTCAACTTTATCATTTGTTTTAGGTGGAAGTTAGTGAAGGGGAGTTTTTTATAGGAGTATTTTGAACTTCTTACTGTAATCCTATTAGTTTGAGTTGGTATAATGTAGTTATCCTAAGAAGTCCCAAAATGTTCTTAAAGAGAGTTTTTCTCTACTAGTTTGCATTCGAATAAACAATAAAGTTATTCTTATGATCAAATGGTTCAGTTTTGATATTTTGAGAGGCTAAGTTGAACACTTCGAAAAAAGTTAAGAGTAAAATGAAATGGACACGCTTAAAATTGTAGAGAACATTTTCATCGTTTACTCGCATCTAATCGAGTAAATGATCAAAATAGTGCCTATATGCTTTAGACATTCATTTTAATCCTAACCTTTTTAATTAAATATATTCAGTTGATACCTAATTTTAGGGCTCAGGTTTATCAAGAAGACAAAAAAAGTACTAACTAAATCATCAATGTTTGTTTGTGAAGATTGAGCATTACCTTCAACTGGTAAAGACTGAGATTGTCACAAGAAAGTCCTCCAAGGAGCTGAAGCTGTTCGAAGAGTACGAGTACACAGCTCATAGCAGTTTGGTGCACAGTCTGGACATTCCTGTTTCCAAGTTCCACTTTGAGCCTTCTCCCATGCAAGTGGGTATTGTAGCTTTTGAAGTCCATTTTAATATATGTAGGGATAAACCTTAAATAGTCCTTAAATTATTCATATATGACCAATTTATTTCTTGAGTATCATGTTGCTCCAATTTACTTCTTTGCCTATACAAAATAATCCCTTGGGGATAAAATTGGGATCAATTTTATATAGTCGATGGACTAAATTAGAGTGACATGATATTCTAGGACTAAGGCTTCGTTTGGGACGGCTTTCTTACTGCTTCTTAAAGCAGCTTTCCAGTATAAATAATTTAATTTTTTAACTAAAAAATTGTTTTAAGAAGCAGTAAGAAAGCTGTCCCAAACGAAGCCTAAATCATTCACTCATGAATAGTATGGGGATCATTTTGGAATTTTCTTTTTATATATATTTCAATTAAGTATTTAATCTGTTGATTTCAGGTCTTAGTAACTGAAATTCCAAAATCCTTCTCACATTTTATCACCAATCTATGCGCAATTACTGGAGGAGTTTTCACGGTACAAAACTAATTTCATAGATGCTTGCTTGCTTCTCTTCTATCATTTATGTGGATACATGAATGAAATTGATATTATTATCAATATGTTTCAGGTTGCTGGGATACTGGATTCAATCTTGCACAATACAATGAGAATTGTGAAGAAAGTTGAACTAGGCAAGCAATTTTGATAATCCAAATTCAAATTTTTGGTCTCAATAGCAGTGTCGGCTTCTCTAACTGACCTTCTTAAGAGCAGGAGTTTTCTGACCGTTAAACTGGACAAGGTAAATCTTTATTATTGAACAGAGCATTTATTTAGGCTTTGAAAAGCTTGTATAAAAATTTCACCTTAGATAATTGCATTGAAATATTTGTAAGATGAAAAACAGAGTTATGTTACGTAAAGTTGGTGATTTGAGAATGAGATCAATACAAGCCATGTTGTTTTTTTTTTTCTTTCTCCTCTGCTGCCCTTTGTCTAAGGAAAAACCTGTTAAAGAAACAATACTTAGTGAAAAGAGAGGTGCATTTGTTGCATTTATAGCTGTAAAGGCTGTTTTTATTTACCAAGTTTAGTATAATAAACTACATTGACAGATCAAAAAGCTAGTTGGAAGGATATTCAAATAGCTCTGGAAGTGCATAAATCTGTTAAAAAAAAAAAAAAGAACTGTATAATCATCACTCAGTGGTAGTAAAGAGGATTCTGTTGAGTTGAAGGATGCTGCCTCATAGCATAGTAGGAGATAGTTCAATTCAAACTTTTCTTTACTTGTCAGGTGATTCTGTTTAGTTCTGCTAATGTTGTCTCTCTTTCATTGCATTAGCATTGGATATGTGTTCAGTTAGATTTTGTTTGGGATGACTTTTTTATCGTTTTATAAAACTGTTTTAAAAAACATTAAGAAAACTGTCTCAAATGAAGCCTTAATTGAAAGGGGACTTAATTTTGATTATGCTTCCTTCCTTTGGTTTGAACCAAATACTTAATAGTTTATCTTTATCATGCACCATTATAAAAAAAATGATGATAGTTATATGATATAACAACTCAAGGATGCTCAACTACCCAACGAAGTCTAAACTAAAAAGTATTTGGAATGGACAACGAATTGGGGTGGTCAATGAGAATGTTAAAAACAATGAAATTTACAAAAAGATAGATTTGTGAATAAAACATTTGGATTGATATATTATCAAAAAATTATCTTGAGCAGGCATGAATCTCAAGGCAAAATTGGGTTAGAAACTATTGAAATTAAATTCGAGACCATATGAATTCTGATTGTTGGATTTCCACCTGACAAAGGCCTTTTCAACCTCCGTCGCTCGCCGACTTCGGTGCCCTTGACCTTGTCGACTACGGTGCCTCCGAACTCTGTTGTCAGGAAACAATCTTTTTGACCCGTCCAATGCCAACTATGATTCTTCCAACCTCCATTGTCAGACAACAGTTCTTCCGATCTCTATCGCTAGATTACAGTCTTTCCAACCTATGTCGCTTGTTGACTACTGTCCTTCTGACCACCGTCTCTAGATAAATGTCTTTCTGACCTCTGTCGCCCGCCGACTACGGTTTGGGACTATGATTTTTCCGACCACCGTCGTCGGACTACGGTCTTTCCAACCTCCGTTGCCCGACTAGGATCTTTCTGATCTACGTCGCCAGCCGACTATGATCTTGTCTACCAAACAAATAAGTCATTATTGATTCTTCCAATTCCCACTATGTAATGCATTTTATATGATATATATTTATTACATCAAGCCAAGGCCTTCCCCCCAAGTAAGGGCCTCATTTGTAATCGGCTGCTAGTGGATTCATTTAAATTGGGCTAGACCCCGTGGTTTTTCCTCCTTTCAGGGGATTCCATGTAAAAATTATGATATCTCTTATGAACGCTACACCTTCTATTTTATCTGATTGTGTGTTGGATCTTCGTACATAACTAAGACGTTAAAACTTTATATTTCTCTATCGTCGTGAATATTCCGTGACACAACAAGGATAGTCAATCCAAATGAGGCCTAAAGCCTATAAACAACGAAGTATTAGATATGAATAACAGCTAAGAATAGCCAATAAGAATATTTTGCATAACTATGACTCATTTGGGATGATTTTCTTACTATTTTTTTTTTAAGTAATTTTTTAGTATAAAAATTTTTATACTAAAAAGTCATTTTAAAAAGGAATAAAAAGTCGTCCCAAATAAACTTATATGCAACTTTTTTAGCTGACTATCTATATATATTTATCTATATATAATAATTTCTTATAAATAGGAGAATAATTAGTATGGAATAGGGTTATGGAATATTGATTCTAGCATTTTACAATCTCTAAACTCTTCTCCAGCACATGCTCAATTTAAAAGTACCACAAAAGAGAGTAAGATAGAGTTGAACTTTTCTCTGTTGAATCACTTTCAAATATTGCAGGCTGATTTGGCCTATTTTGACAAATTGTGTGAGCTCTTTCCTTTAATAGAACAGCTTTTCCACTTAATTGTCATCTTAGCTATCCATCCAACAAAACTAATTCCTCTTTGCCAACCCATACCCATATTGCAACATAAATAGAATTTTAATTAATTAAAAAATGGTTTTTTCCTCTTGAAATGAACATTAATTAAGAAAAAAAAAAACCTAAAAATTTATTATCAGTATATTTGTTAGATGGTGCTCTCTATGCTATAAAGGGCAAGGTTTTTTATTTTTATTTTTTTTTATGGCAAGGTTGATCAAAGCTAACCACCTTATATGATAATGCTAAAATTTTTTAGTTAAAGAAATATTTATATTAAAAAGCTACTTTAAGAATCAATAAAAAAATTATTTCAAACGAAATCTAAGTATTATAATTTAACATTAAATAAAGATATTTATATTAAAATTTGTGTATTTGAGTCTAATTATGATTTTAAGTTACACGTATTGCGCTTGTTTACTACAATATTATTCATTAAATATAATAATATTAAAATACTTGATGTTTTCCTTATTAATAAAACAACTCTAAATACTGCTTATTAGAAACAATTTGTACTTAGTTTGATGATAACGACAAAGAAGAAGACTTCCTCTCAAAAAATTTTTTTCTGTATATAAATAAATCTGATAAATTTTTAATTTTTGAACCTTTAGTCATTATAATGAAAGCTGTATTTTTTTTCTTAAGAAAAAAAAAAAGAAAAGAAAATCGAATGGTACATCTTCTGAATGAGAATCAACAAATATTTATTTAAAATAACGCTTTCTACATACAAGAAAATATATTTTTGAGTGTTGTATACATTTTTATTAGATCTTGGTAGGGGTGTCAATTTCGGGTCACTGGTCGGGTTCGGGTCGAACCCAAAATTGACCCGGCACTATTCGGGTCAACCCGAACCCGACCCGTTTTTTAAAACGGGTCAGTTTTCTGGACCCGAACCCGACCAGCTTTGGGTCCGGGTCAACCCGACACAACCCGAATGACCCGTTTCCAACAAAACAATGGCTAATTTTCGGGTAAAAAACGGGTCAGTCTCCACTTTTCGGGTAAAAAAATGGGTCAAAATCCGGTCAATCTCGGGTTGCCGGGTCAAAATCAGGTTACTTTCGGGTCAAAGGGTTAACCCGAACCCGACCCGATTTTTGAAACGGGTCGAAATGATGAACCAAGATGATAAGGCAGAAGAAGTCCTCTCCATTTTTTTATGGAAATGATTAGGTGATTAGGTAATGTCATACAATTGACTTATTACTTAGTTGCATAAGAGAAGTTGTAATCACCATTAAAAAATAATTCTGATTTCAGTTTCAGTAATCTCTTAGAAGTTTCATTTCAATAGTTCCTGTGGTTTTCATCATTTCAGTTATTATATTTTCATATTAATTAGTTTTAATTACTGATCAAAAACAAAAATAAAAAAGAAAAAAATATTTCAATCTTAGTTTGGATGAGATACCGACATTGAGGTTTCATTTGAGACAGTTTTTTTTACTATTTTATTTTTCATATCGTAATCATAATTTTTTTTGCCACTATTTTTTCGTTACTTTCAAAAAAATTTTATATACTAGAAAATTATTTTTTATAATAAATTTAATAAATTATTTTCTCTACAGTACAAATCAATAAGATTCCAAATGAAACATTAGAAAAGCTTTATTGAAATTGTCAACATAAAATACATAAATTTAGCTTTTTTAAAGCATTTTTTTAATAATTAAAAAAAAAAAAACAGCAAAAAAATCGTCCCAAATGAGACCTATTCTTTATGACAATAAATAAATAAATAAATAAATGGAGGCAAAGCTGCTAGTTGAATGGCTCAATATACCTCAAAGCTATTGGGTGCTGCCATATGGCGCCATTTATTACAATTATTATCGTTGTTAATAAATAATTTATTAGGAGAAAATGACTTAAAAAATATTTTCTTTTTTATGTCATAAATAATGCCAATTCATCTTTCCTGAAAGTTAGCAGAACTTGCAGAAAGGTATCCCATTTTCCCACAAGCAATGGTAACTGGAAACATAACTATCACATATGAAAATAAATTTGTAAATAACTTTATTTATTTATTTATTTGAAATTCTTTCAATGAACCAATTTTTTTTGTTTTTTGTTTTTAGGTGAGCATAATAATATTTTCATATCCCTATAAAAATAAAATGAATAATGATATAAAAAATCTAAGTATTATTTTTATTTAATAAATTTTTTAATTTTTTTTAAAAATAATGCTTAATCATTGACATATTAATTAATAGTAAAATATTATATATGGGAGCTTAACATTTCATATTCATGTTTAAATTTGTGTGTTTTCATCACATAGTTATTAATTGTTTGAGTTATATTTATGCAATCTGGAAAAATAATATTATTTTATAAAAAAAATATTGCAGAAAATATATATATTTTTATTTTAAGCAATTTTCATTCCCTTTCCTAAATTTATTTTAAAAATCTTTGAATAGGGCTACAAATGAACTGAGCTTAGTTGAGGAGGAACTTTAAGCTTCAGCTTTGATCATAAAAAAATGATTTGATCAGACATAAATCTCAATGCATATTTTGGATCCAAAACTTTTTGAAGCAAATCCAATACTATCCAAACTTATTGTCAAATTGGACGTATCAAAGAAACGAATCCATTGACATAAAAATATGATTCAATTCCAAATGAGCTAAAATCAAGCACTTGAAGTATAATTGAATATTAATTAGAGAATAAAAAATCTTTAAATTTGACATGCTTATAATTAAATTGAACATCTCAACAAGTTGAATCCAATGAGCCCAAAATCCTATAATTTCAATATTAAAAGATTGGTCTATGATTGAGGGAACTAAAATAGGCCACTTGATGGAGGTTTCGAATATTTGCTATACTTATGGGGCATGCCACCCGCAAAATCTATTTTGTAGGCTCCCACACTCTACAACAAGATGGCTTGGACATTGGATTAGGTTTAAGAGAGTTTGGAGGCTTGAATAATTGTGGAGCTCCACCCAAGCACCACCATTGAATCACTGCTCAATCAATGCCATCAAAACATTGCCAAGTACCCAACTCTTGAATTCAATCATCTAATCATTGTTGTCCGACTATGATATTTTGACTATCATTACCTACCATGATCTATAGGCCATCATCACTTAACTCTAGTTTTCTGGCCACAGTTACATGAATATGATTCTCTAATCATTGTCTATCAACTATGGCCCTCTAACCACTGTCGCATAACTATAATCCTCTTATCATTGTTGTTCAACCACACTCTTTTGATTATTGTCCTAAGGTTATAATATTTCAACTAATGTTGCTTGCGACAATCCTACACTCACAGTTTCCCAACTATGGATCTTCAACCATCGTTATATGACTACAGTCCTCTAACTACTATCACTCAACTAACCATTATTACTCGAATGTGGTCCACTCTACCAACATCGCTCAACTATCATCCTCTAGCCATCATCACATGATTGCTATTCTATGATCATCGTCACTTAACTATGACCCTCTGACTACTGTCTCTATACTCGATCCTCCAATCACTATTGCCCGACTATTATCCCTTGATCCCTACTTTTACTTGACTACGCTCCTATATATACAATCACCTGACTATAATATTATGACATTGTTAACCAATTACTATCCTAAAATGATCATTGCTTGACAATGATCATCCAACCACAATCACCTAACCATGGTCCTTTGATCTCCATCATCCAACTAAAGGACCACTATTGCCTAATTCAAGTCCTCTGACCACTATCACTTGATTTTCTTCATTAAACCATCATTAACAAAACTATAATCTTTCGACGACCATCGCTCGACTACAATCATTTGATCATGGTTGTATGACTAAGATCATATGACCACTCTCGTTAGACTATGATCTTCTAATGACCGTTACTCGACTATGATCCTCCAAACATCAATGTTTGACTATATTCCTCAGCTAAAAAGTACTTAACTATGATCCTCCAAATACCTTGTTTGACTATAGTCCTCCGACTATCCCATCCCTTGAATATGGTCTTTTGATCACCATTATAGATGTGAATATTCAACCTTTTGTATTATTTAAACCAAGCGTCTTCTCTAAAAGTTTCTTGGTGATATTCTTTCAAAACCTTTAACAAGAATCTTACTTCCAAGGTATGTTTAAATTTTATATATTTGATTTAGAATGCATTTAGTGACCCTTATAATGTCCTCAATCCTCTTAGATTACAATAGGGTGTAAAAGTAAGGAGATGCCTTTGACAACTACACTCGAACAAATAATTCAAACTCTAAATTAGAACCCTAGGTTTAAAAACAAACTTTAGATGATAGTATGAGATGAGAATTGAAGTTCAAATAAGATTTAGACCCCATTTTATCGACTTGAATAAATTACTACATTAAGAATCTTATTTAAACCTTTTACAAACCCTTGTTCAAACCTTTTTCCTCATTACCGCTTAAGAATTTGAGTCTTCTCAATTATTTATACTTGTATATATACCAATAAATAATTCTTGTGGAGAGAAATTCATCTCTAAATAGCTTTTCACCTACGAATGACCTATCGTGTTCCATGATCTTAACTCATCAACTTCACATAGATATATGCATATTCTCTTAATTTAATAGTAATTTCTACTTCATGTATAATGGTTGATCCAATTGTAATGTTTGACAAATGTTAAAACCAAGAACTTAGCCACCTATTTAGCAAGTTTTATTGACTTGGGATGTTTTGCTAGTCATGAGACCCAAGTAATTGGCATACAAATCATATAAACTCCAAATATCAGAATGTGATCATAATAATTATGGATTATAATATGAAGCAAAAAGAAATGAAGGATCAAGATAATTTTTAAATGAATAAAATGAATGACCTGGATTTGATGTGGAAGAAAACTCAAGCAATTTTTATATTAATAGTACATATTATATTTACATTTTCATGAAATACTATCATATATCGCGATGGCAAAAAAAAAAAAAATCATCCAAAATATCTTTCAGATATATTTTTCTAAATAAATATATAAGGAATTTATTTGTGTGAGTAAGCTCATTATGGATCAAATAAATAAACTTAAATTTCTTATTTTTATGTGAAAGTAAAAAATCTTATTTTAAGAAAATTAAGGTTCTTGAGGGAAAGAACATGCGAGCAAAGTCATATATAATTGTTTGGTGTTTACGCCTGCACAACGCGGACCCATGAACTGATAGCTATGTCGGAAAATAACGAAAATACCCCCTCTACCACCCAGGCCCCATCCTCTCCAAATCCCCCGCCTCGCTGAATCCATTCTTCCCATGCCCCCGCGCCCGCGCACGAGCACGCGCTCGTTCATTCGGTGCTGGGCGGTCTCGAAGCCTTCTCAATAGCTCAACTTCTCCTTCATCTCCTTTTTTGATTCCTATTATAGGAGTTCCTATTAGAATTTGAAGTTCTTCGATTGCGTTCAAGAGAATGTGGATGAATTCCGGACAACCGGCGGATTCCTACTACGAAGTCAGGCCGGAGTACACTGACGACGTTCCCAAGACCCGATTCAAGATCAAGGTTCTATGATTTCAGATCTTATCTTTTCGCGATTTTGGCAGCTGGGAATTCAATTTGGTTTGCGTTGTTTGATTAGGCAGTTTGTTTTTCTAGTTTCTATCCTCGTTGTACCCTTTTATGAAATTCTGGATTTTTATGCGTTCGATTTGATAAAAATTCCATTTTTGGTTTCCGGTTTGTATTTTCCATCCTTCTAGTTTTTCTCTGCTTGGGGGATCTGTGTAGTAAAGATTGAGTATTTATGTTTCATGAAATTTTAGTTTGTTCTAGGTTAATTGCTTATTTATTTATTTTGATATTTTGGATCACCTTCAATTTAGGGAAATAACGAACACGACTTATGTTAGTTGAATTGAAGATGGTTTTTTGGCAGATAAGTTATTCTATGGATCAGCGGATCTGTTATTCATCAAGGAGGTTTCTGGAGATTGCTTGATTTAGTGACAATGATTCATGGATTCACCCACTTATTCTATTCATTGGAGTTCTTTTCTTCTTGAATTTTGTTTTTCTTGAGTTGAACTTTTTCATTCACCAGAGCTTGGTTTTTCCTCTTTTCTTTTGAATATTTATTTCAAAATATCTATGCTTGGTGGCTGGCGGCTGCTTGCTTAGTTACTTGCATTTTAATTTGTTGATGCAGGCTGGAAGAACCCTTAGCGTTAGAAGATGGCAGGCTGCCTTTAGCTCTGAAGGATATTTGGATATTGGACCAACTCTCAGTCGAATTCGACGTGGGGTAGGTCGATGATTTTCAGTTGCTATAGAGTTTTTTTTTTACTATAGAGGATTCAGTATTGAGGATAATTGTTTGATCACTGGTGCTTATTTGAAACAAATTTTGCCTCAGGGGATGTAAGGAGCATTCTATTAGTATCTTATGATGATTAATGATATGTGTATTCTGTGCCTTACCTTGTTGATATTTTGTTTTCTAATAGTTTTTTGCTTCTTGTCACAGAATAGTTATTAAATCTTAGGTTTCTCCAGCATTTTTTTGTTTTGTTTGGCGAGTGGTTGATGGAATGATTATCTAAGGATTGATAGCTGTTACTAGGCAACAGTGATAGCTAGTTAGGAGGGAAGGAACAGTGAGATTAGACTAATGTAGATTGGAAGTTCAAGGAGTGCAAGATCGATAAGGTGTTTAGAGAAGATGAAGAGGATGCTAGATCATGACTAGTAATGTTAGAAGGGAAGAAACTGAGGAATTGAAAGGACAACATTTTTACTCAAATTGTCTTGCTGCTATCATGGTTTAAAATTGCACAATATGAGGCTCGCCTTGAGGTCCTCCTTTGCGCAATTCCAGTAAAAAACGCCTCGATGCTTACGCCAAGAGTTTTTTCATGAGGCTTGCGCCTCAACTTGGTTGAGGCCCTCCTTGAGTCCCGCCTTGCCTCACTGGCATGAGGCTTACGCCTCACGCTATATATATTAAAACTTACATAAATCTTGAAGCAAATGCCCGACATTGGACTCTATGGGAGAGGAAGAAGGGGAGAGAGCAGTTCATCATAATGATGATTCAAATGAAGAACCCCCTAGTGATGGAATAATTATTAGGTCCGGACACCGGACATAGCTCTACATCCGAACGCCAATAACATGTCGCCACGTGCTCTTACTCTTTACCGTGCGGCCTGACGACCTGACCCGGACCCGGACCCGGTATTACTATGTATTGGCTGATTTGTGCAGACAGGGGTATTGCTAGGTATTGCTCGATATTGCTAGGTATTGCTAAGTATTGATTTTGACAGAGCGGCATTTCTCGTTATTGCCAAACAATACCTAGTAATATCGAACAATACTTAGCAATACCGAACAATACCTAGCAATACCCGAACATAGCAATACCGGTTTCCGGTCCGGGTCGGGTCGTCGGGCCGCACGGTAAAGAATAAGAGCACGTGGCAGCATGTTATTGGCGTCCGAATGTAAAGCTACGTCCGGTGTCCGGACCTAATAATTATTCTTAGTGATGACAGTGTTGATGACTTATGAGTTCTTATGTGATATATCATTGCTATTTATTTTTGGAAATTGGAATTATATGTTAATGAAAAGAATATTGGGATTTTGGAAAAATAGAATTTTGAGTTGAACTAGATTTCATGTTGTTTTATTATTGGGATATTTTGATTTCACTTCATATCTTATATTTTTTTATGTTTTATATTATTCATTGATTAGTATATAAAAATTTATCATTTTATGTTTACGCAATCTTTTGATTTTGAGGCTTACGCCTCAAAACGCCTTGAGGCTTATGCCTCGCCTCACGAATGGAAAACGCCTCAATACTCGAATACGTAATTTTAAACATTGGCTGCTATAAGTTTATACACACTTATATAGATGTAAGACAAGAGAAAAATAAATAAAAATATAATAATATAAAATATCCTCAGTAAGTAGTAAGTATTGTAATAATAAATAGTTGAGATTACTACTATAAATAATTTAAGCCATGTTATAATTAAAATGTGGTAACAAAATTGAAGCTTCTAATTTTCTGCTTAAATTATTGCCGAGTTCTCTCTCCATGGTAGTTGACCACAAACAATTGTTTGCCTGCCCGCTTCTTCTTTGAAATATATATATATATTTTTTTTCTTTGAAATATTTTTTTGTGCCTTCGGTAAAAAGAATTTGCAAATTCACTCAATTGACAAATAAGGGAACAAAAAAAAAAAAAAGTGGGGATTATTGATATGCATCTTCTGACTACAAATGTCGAAGTCTTTAAGTTAGATTGATATGATAGGTCTAGGGGCTACTCTTCACTCTTGTTTGACCATGATTTTCTTAGTACACAAACTATCTATTCTAATTCTTTTTAGTTTGTTCTAAAGATGCAAATGTGAACCATTCACTACATTTTGAACCCTCTATTTTTCAAAATCACAATCTTCCTCACCACTTGATTAAAAGATGCTAGACTAGAATTCCGAAAATTGGTCTGTTTAAAAAATCTTTTAAAAAAAGGAGGGTAAACTTCTCCTTTACTGATTCTTTGGTGATGCTTACAGTTATATCCATTGTTAGTTGTTAACATTTCAGATTTAGTTTGTTTATGAACACCGAAAGGATGAAAGAATGGAATTGAATACTTGGTTGGGCGGGAAAAAGGTGTTTAATAAAGAAGAAATTAAAAAGAGTAGACCTTGTTAAAAATATTATAAAGAACAATTTTTTTTATTTCACCTCAAGTTCAAAGGAAAGAGTGACCAATGGTAATATTGTCAAAACTTACTAGCCAAAATAAAGTTTTGAAGCATTTGGCTGTCTCAGACACAGCAACGTTGCTAGGAATTTTTATTGAAGACCTTTTCATAAACCTAAAAGCAAGTAGCTAGGAAATTATTTGATATTTTTTGTTCGTGCCTAGGTCTTGTAGCTATTTGCACATTGAATGATTTTTAGTACTTATCAAGTCAAAATATAATAGTTGATCTCTTTTGAGTTTAATTCTAATGCTTATATAAAACTTATGAAGGAAAAGTGGAGACCAACCTGAAGAGCCATCAAATCATCTGAACTGGTGTAGTATTGCACCCTTTTTCCACCTTTAATTTGACATTTATCATATTATGTGTTATTCCAATCTCAAATAGTTGGGATAAGGCTAATAATGATGATGCTTACTATGCGTTATATACATCGTATCATGTACAAAATATCTCATGTTTCTATCATCTTTCACTATATTGAGTTTCTTCAAGGAGGACTCGTTACAACTTACAACATAGATTTATAATGTTCATCTTGAGGATGTATGCTTTTTGCATTAGTCTAGCAAGAAAATATAAAATTGGTGATCATCTCCATGATAGCATGAATGCATATGGAGGTGAAATTTTTGTCATATACTTGAATACTCCTGCTTGCTAGCGAGATTTAATTCTATTTCGTTATTCATGTATGATTAATGGATACCTTTTATTGAATTTCGGACCTTTCTTTAATAGGGAATACATCCATCAATTAGAGGTGAAGTTTGGGAGTTTTTACTTGGATGTTTCAGTCCAAAGAGTACGTTTGAGGAGAGAGAGCAGTTGAGACAACAACGAAGGTAGCTCTTATACAATTGCAAATTCATAGTACTTATATTAAAAAAAGATCCGACTTCTTTCTAATATTTTTGTTTGTTAACCCAATTGAAATAGTGTTATAAAAATGTTTAGATCATTGCAAAAACATTTTATTTAAAGGAATTATAGTTTAACCTACTATGTAGAAATTTCCATTTTCACAAGAGTCATGCTTAAGAATACTATGCCTTGTCATGCAGAGTAAAATACGCTCAATGGAAGGAAGAATGTCGACAGATGGATGCTCATGTTGGTAGTGGTACCATTATTACAGCCCCAATAATCACTGATGACGGAGAACCAATCAAAGATCCTCTTGTCCTGATGCAAGCTGTGCCATCTGCTAACCTTCTTGACGATGTTGGAGCCAGTGAAGGGAGCGATGAAGAAACCCAAATACATATAACAGACAAAAAAATTATTCAGTGGAAACTAACTTTACATCAAATTGGTAGGTATTCTTTTTCAGCTCCAATTTATGTTTTTGAATTTGATTATTTCTTTCATTTTAATGTAAACATCTATCCAGTCATATCAAATTCTTGCACTATTTTGACTTGTCTCCATGCTTCTTTGCATTTGTTGTTGGTTTAAAGCTGGTTATACGTTATTGGAATGGTGAGCGAAAAATTGCAAAGTATGTGGCTCAAATCTATGACATTGTAGAAACAACTTTCTCCTTTAACCACTTGACCATGGTCCTTTCATGTGGGTTCTAAGCTTAGATACAACTAGGCTATGTATCTGTCAAAATTCAGCTAGTCATAGTATCGATTTGTGTTGTGTACTGTAAAATCCTTTTTGTTGGAGTATCTAGTTTAGTTAAACAAATTTAGTTTAGGTTTTCTTATCAGTATACCAAAGAATGTCCAAAGGAGTAGGTGAGGGGTTCAAGTCTCCACACACCCAGAAAAATACTATAGTTTTCTTTTAAAGATTCTGTCCGGAATTCATTATACATTTGTCAAGGCATTATTTATGATTATAGGCATATTTTGCATGTTTCAATGTAAGATAAAATATGACTGAACTAATCCTAGTTTCACACCTGCCAAGCCGTTAATGAGCATTGGCTAGTAAATTCTAGGTTATGCTATAGATATTTAACTTAGTGTATTCTAATTTGTTATTATTTGATTAATTTTATGGCAGGTCTCGACGTGCTGCGTACCGACAGGACTCTAGTATTTTATGAGAAGCAGAGCAATTTAGCAAAGCTTTGGGATATTCTGGCCGTTTATGCTTGGATTGACAAAGATGTTGGCTATTGTCAAGGTGGCTATATATATTTTACTAAATGATTTGTTGTATTACACTTTCAAAAAGATATTAAGGTTTCCTTTCTACAATTGCTACTGTATCAGCTATTTTGGCTATGCAAATGCTTTTCAATTATTCAGTTATCTTTCTTTTTCATTCTTGTTGTCAGAGTAAAATTATTGCATTTTTTTAAAGATAAAGTGCTTGAAAATATTATGAAATTCTCCTTTGATATATCTGAGGGTCATAGCTAATTGTGTGCTGTGCTTTTTCAGGAATGAGTGATCTTTGTTCTCCAATGATAATGCTTCTTCAAGATGAAGCAGATGCATTTTGGTGCTTTGAACGGTTGATGCGAAGATTGGTATGATTTGTTTAGCATGTTAAGCAAATTTGAAACGTTAATTTCTTAACTTTTTTGTAATTTCTCTACTTATTATAAATTTGAAACGGCAGTTTCTAAACTTTTTTATAAAATAGTACTTTGCACACTAACCTTACTTGCATTTTCCTCTGTTCCAAGAGGATAATGGACTTAATCAGTTGATAATTAAAAGGAGAAGTAAATATTCAGCAAACAATTGTTGTAACTCTTAAAACCGTTCCTATTTATTATCTAGCATAGGGTCGTAAATTAACGGGGTTGAGCCAAGTATTATCTTGGTCAATTTTGTTGATTTACTTTCTTATACAGTTCAAGTTAAGCTTGAAAATAATCCTAGTTTTAAAATTCTGTTTAAGCTTGTTTATTAGTTTTTTTGATTGAGTTGAAGTCTGTTAGATATTAGCATATGAGGTTGGATCCAAAAATCAGATGCGGAGCATTGGCTACAGACATGGCGGAACAACCAACAACTATAAAGCTTACCAAAGAAGAAGACACAGACACATTCCACAAGCATAAATGCCAAATGAGTCCACATATATAATAAAACACTAGTTTAGTCTTTCTTATAAGTTTAGTTAAGTAGATCGGTTCTATATTGTAAATTTGGTTTACCCAAGAATTATAAATACATTACTTATTATAAGAAAAGGTATTGAATGAAATAAATCTGGTTTCTTCCTTTCTAGTCTCTCTTACTCCCCTTTTTCTTTCCTAAGGAGTCTATACCTACTCAGAAGGTGCCAAGGTTTCTTGGATCACCAAGAAGCATAACAAATGATTGCTCTCATTGCACAATACTCACCTCTCCTCCTGATTCTGCAGCCGGCCAGTCCCTTCCACCCCCTTCTTCTCTATTTCAACTGCCAAGATTTTATTTCTCTACCGGAATTCATTGCTTCACTTCAGACCTTTTTTTTTTCCAGCCCACCAGCCGCCAATGCATCGTTGTTTTCCAGAACCACACCTCTCTCACATCCAGTTTTCTGGTTCTTTCGATATCAGCAGTTGAAGATCTGCTGTTTGAAGACGAGTCGTCCCACCAGTCATCCATTCATGCTTCCAAGAACCGTCATCTGTTTTCCAACACGGCAGTTTTGCAAATTCTCCATTGGCCAACTTCTGTCCGACCCGCTCCATCTTTCAAGAATGCATTAGGCACCAGTTCTTGGTATCAAGTATCACATCTCGTTCAAACTCCATCTGCACATATCAAATCAAAATGAAGAATGCAGATTTGGCGGAAATCATTCGGTCAATGCAAACCAAGCAAGAGTTTTATTCCTCAAAAATAAAAAAATCTCTACGACAAGTGAATGTTCAAATTGCCTCCATTAGCTCATCACTTCAACATGTTCATACCTCAATGCATTATATTGATAAAAAACTTAACAGTTTGTGCATTGACTGCCCACCTCCTCCCCTTCATCAAGATCCTTCCTCTTCTGCCAGCATCCTTGGTTCGTCCAACTGAATCCCTTCTTCACAATCACCACCTGCTTTGACCATTGACCATTGTATTTATCTTCCATCTTTATCTCAAGTTGGCATTGAAGATGATGAAGATTTGACATTCATAGATACAATTGGAGATGAAGATGCCTCCCTTGAAGACCCATTTAGTGATGATACATGATTGGCTTTTAGATGTTCTTTCTTATTTGTATTTTGGGAGTTTTGATAGACTTATATTTGTGATTTTGTACTTTGAATTATGCTATGAGATGCATATATTGCATCTACATTATTGTTTTCCTCTAATTTCACTTCTCTTTTAGATATTTTTATTGTATGATAGTCTCTTACTGTTATTTACCTGCTAGAATACTTAAATTCTCATTTACCCAATTCTTCGTCGTTACGCCTCACCTCACGGACGTAAAATGCCTCGAGGCTTATTTACGCAATTTTAAACCTTGATCTCAACTATATAACATCCGTCCTTATCATTCTCCACATTTTCATAAGGATGTTATTCCTATTTTGAGCTCTTTTTCTATTCCAATATTTCTTGTTCATAAACTAAATGGTACTTGGCATTTTTACATTAATTCTAGAGTCCTTAAAATACTCACCATTCAAGATATATTTTCTATTCTAAAAGTACATGAATTTTTAGATGAATTACATATAATTTTTTTTCTTCCAAATTTCATTTTTGTTCTGCCTCTCTCCAAGTTAGGATCCATCCTAAAAACTTTCATCAAACTATTCATGAACTAAGAATTTCTCCTTTACTCTTTTTTTCTCCTTCTGCTTTTTTGCATCTTCAAAATCAAGCTTTGTTACAAGGGAAAATAAAGTACCGGTTGATGCTGCATGAGAAAATTTTGCATCCCTCTCTTCATCTTTTCCTTCTCTCGATCTTGTTAGGGGGTATTTGTTGATCCATATACCAAATAATGAGCGAAAAGAGGGAAATGGGCCTACTTAAGTGATAATCGGAGGGCGCGACGCATCACTGAAGGGTCAAACAACCTCCGATCATTAAACGTACTTCGCTATTGCAATCGGAGCACCGAATTTGCGTAAGAGGGAGTTCCTCGCAATCAATTCGGGTGAAAATGGTCAAAATCGACAACCGACACCCAAAATTTATGCGTGACATTGCCCAAACGACGTAAGATCTTAAATTGGATTTTGTTGTTGCGTTCACAATGTCGACAACACCCAATAATGATTATAATTTCGTCCAATAAAATTTGTCTAGCAAAATCAACGCAAATTCTGAGGCAACGGTGCGTAAATCAAGGCAACTATGATGAATTTCGAGGCTATGAAATTCTGTTCTGTTTCAATTATTTTAATAATAATAATATCATTATTTAACAGAAATAAATTAAAATAAAAAAATCAAATCAAATCAAAATTAAGATACCTTGTATCCGCCTTGCCTGCGCCAGCTCTACTAAAATCCCTGAAATCCCAATGACATTCGCGTCTCCTTCCATGAATCCTGTGACTCGCCTTGATCAAACTTCGCTCTTGTTGATAAAACGAGACTAAACGACCTCTCTTTTCCGATTCTTCGACACACGAATTTTTCTCTCGCTCTAGCTTTTTTATGTTCCCAATTTCGACCTCCGCCGGGCTCGACGTTTCACTCCTATAAGCCGAACTCCTCTACTCGATCAAATACCCACTTCCTCCCTCCCAGCTGTCTGCGACTAAGACTCGTTCGATGTCACAACCAGGCAACACGACCCGTTTAGATTCCTGATAGAAGCTGACCTTCAACCGATCTCCAGAGCCATGAAACAGTTCCAGGCCACCAGCTTGTGCTCGATTGCCTTCTCTACAGCCAATTCCTGTCTGTTCCACACATTTGCAATTGACGAACCCTTCCAACTTGCTGCAGCCGTTCGGTCGAGTCCCCCTACAAGCCGCAAATCCGGCACTAGTAGCCTGAGCTGATCCCATTCGACCCTCACCCAACGCCTCTTGCTGTTGATCCCGCCTCCTATTCTCCATGAAACCGAACACCTCCCGACTCTGTTCCTTCCTCACCTCAATCGAACCAACCGACCTCTTCCCTGTTCGAATACAGTCAAACTCTTCACAACCTACAACTTCTCAATCAAAACAGCTCACACTTTCCTCTTTCCTCATTCCTCTTACTTTATCAACTACAACAAGCCCACAAGCTAAATTCCCACTCAAACCAATCCCACTCTTCCAATTCATAATTCCTATGGCAACTACCAACCCATCTCCAAAGCCAACACAAGTTCAGCCTAAATCAGCCAACCATTACACTGTCCCTTTGTTATCATTATTATTAATCATCATCAATAATCATTGTTATTAATTAATAGTGATTTTGTTATTATTATTATTATTATTATTATTTGGTAAAAAAAAGAAGAAAGAAAGAAAATAAACAAAAAAGAAGAAAATGAAAAGAAATTTTTTTTGGTGTTCAGCACCTCAATCCTTGTGCCCCCGACCTCGACGCCATCGACGCTATCGTTGCAACCTCGCGAAGGCATAATGTTAAAAAAAAAAAAACTCAAAAAGATCCTAAAAAATCCCACTTTCAATGTTCGTGGCGCATCGGGGATCACCCACACGCTCTCGTAGCATGGGAGGGAGCCCGGTGCAATGCTTGCGACAAAGCGGGTAGGCTCTATATGCACTCTCATAGTGTGGCAAGGACAACCCTAAGTACCAGTGTATGAGCTACAGTGTTTGCAAGGAAAAATTGTAAGTTTTTAATAAAGGTACCTCGAAGACCCATACACGCTCTCATGGCTTTGTGGGATTGAAGATTACGGCCGTGGTGTCACCCGACACCTACCCTATGTGCTCTCGTAGAGTGGTAGGGAAGGCATAGCTTTTAAAATTTCTCTTAAGCAGGGGAGACGTCGGGAGGTTGCCAGAATTTCAAATGACAGAGGACCTGCACTTAAGCAAAATCACTGGGAACAGAACTCAAATTAAAATGGCAGGGAACCAAAAATTAAAATGAAAAATGAATAATCATAATTAAAATACAAATGCTAACTAATAATCTTGTTCATCTAATTGAACAAGCAGAGAATTGGTGTTGAACAAAACTCCAAGCATGATTTGCTTGCAAGCAATAATCAACAATAATTAAAGAGGTGTGATGTAGTTGCAAGTAGATGCACAAGAATATCTTAGCAAGTGTTACAAATCATATATGAATGATAGTGATTGATGTGTAGCATTCGTATCGACCTTGCAATCAAACGTATCAAACAACAATGCACATAATGAAATATTCATAAATGGTAGTAAGAGATGTGCAGTGATATGCTCATGAGCAAAGTGTGGAGAATGTGCAATGAATGCAACAATGCTCTACGGTCAACATCAAAACACAAGCAACTACATCGAACCCTTGCAAGTAATGAAGGGAAATGCATGATGAATATGAACTCCTGCAAATGGTGACAACCAATATGCAATAAACATGAAGAGCTCTTCGCAAACATAGATAAGAGGGCTTCAATGAATACAACTCACATAGCAATCAACGTTAGTTTGCAAATGAACATGTTAATCTACCTGCAAGCGGTAATAATAGATATGTTGCAGGTATTTGTTGGGGGAGACGAGGAGTAAACACCAGAATGACTAAATAAGCAAGAAAGTAAAAGCAGCGGAAAAGTAAAGGACGCCAAAATTTAACATGAGAAACTCAAAATAGGGAAAAAAATCGTAGAGCCACACCACACCAAGAAATCCACTATGAAAATTGGGAGAAATAAGTAAGATCTCTCTTTTCTCTCACTCTCTCCTTGCTTCTATTCTCACATGCACCATTTTCAATGTCTACATACTCAATATACAATAGAAAGCCAAGTAAAATAACCCCAAGGGATGCAACCCTACATAGAAACGAGAAAGAAAATCGTCCAGTTTGTCTCGCAGTGCTGTGGCGTTAGTATGGGGCGCCGCGTCGTACACGCCTCTGACTTGCACTGCTGCAGTATCGTATTTATATCGTTGTGGTGCTCTGCTCTTTGTCTTTCAGCACCGTGGCGTTTGGGTACGTAGCGCCGGGGAGGTCATGTACACAGCGCCCCACCCCCACCGAGCACGAGAAACTTGAGGTCCAAGGAAACATAATAATTCGATTGATCAACACAATCAAATTCCACACATAAGAGTATGAAGAATCCCCTATAAACGTAAATATTCATGCAAAGTGCTATTTGCAAGCAAGGCTGGAAGATTGGTAATACACACGAGCTCCTACGAACCGCTGTAGGAGACTCTTTATCTACAAGCAAATACAGAAGAATTGCAGCAAATACAGACACCTACAAGCCACTACAGCGCTAGAAAATTTGCATGCAAAGCAATTGATGCAACAGCTGCTAAAGGAAGTAATCAAGACAAAGAAATAAATGCAACAGTAATCTGAATAGAGAAGTGAAATTGTTCATTCTACTATCTTCTTCCTCCCAAGACCGGTCATATAGTCATTAACTAAGACTAATGCTAGTAATTACTAAATTAAGATAAGCAAAACAATAAAAAGGACAGTACTATGCTTAACAGAAAGGTAAAAATAGCAGAAAGGCAGTAGTGGGACGTTGAGCTTGGTGTCGAGTCCACTGGAACACGATAACAGAGTAGATGACCGCATCAATTCTCCCCTGGTCTGAAGAAGCTCGACTTTGATGAAACTTTTGTAATGTGCATGTTGTCAGGTGGGTGATAGCTATAGATATCTGCTACATTGAACGTGGGGTAAGTATGATTTCAGGTGATAGGTCGATCACATAAGCATTTTCATTAATCTTGTGGATAATCGGGAATGGGCCAATTTTCTTGGGCTTAAACTTAGAATAAGTTCTTTGGGGATATCTTTCTCTACGCATTTGCAACATCACTAATTCGTCGGGATTGAAGACCTTGTGGCGACGGTGAGTGTCTACATGTTGTTTATACTTGGTAGTGGTCTCCTGGAGCTTCTTTCTCATGGTCTGAATGATTTCAACTGCTTGCGTTACTGTTTTGTTGACGTCTGATTTGCTGCACTTTGGCTAGATGGCCAACTCTACTATGTGGTTGGGTGGTTTGGTATACACGACTTGAAAAGGGCTGGAACACGATAAACCAATTGAATATATAGACTAGTTATGTTTTTTAATGCTAATAATTTAAACTTATATGCTTATTACTATATATATAATTGAATTATGAGATTTAATGAAAATTTTCATAATTCACTAAGTATTATTGATGTTGTTTGATGTAGTTCAAATATTTATAAAAAATAATTTTAGTCTATTTATTTAACTATTTGTTTTGCAAATACTTATACCTCAAAATAGTATATATATATATATATATATATATATATATAATTTTAAAAGTGTATAGAATAAAAGTAAATTGATATTAAACATACAATAAATTATCAAATACATAATCAATTATTAAATGAGCATTTTATGGAGGTCTTAGCAAGTTATTTGTTGAACAACAAATGGGAATGTTCACAAACATATATGAATTAGTGGGTCAATATTTAAACTTGTTAATTTATATATCGAGTTCTTTAAATCTAGATCAGGCTAGTCCAATTAGCTAAATGAACAAACAAAAACGAGTCATATATGAATGAATATTGAGTTGTTCATCAAGTGCAATTGTTCGCTTACAACTCTACTCTAACATATACACTTTTTGTCTTATTACTACACATATTTATTATATAAATATGTATTCATATTCAATAACTAATGTACTTTCCTTGGTTTTGGGATTATCATGTCTTAATAATGACTATCTGATGCTTCTTCAATTTATAGTTATATAACTGAAATATTTTGTAGTTTTTTGTTTTGATAATTGCTTTACATTGTTTTTAATACTTTGTTATTTGAAATTTTAAAGCGAGGAAATTTCAAATGCACAGACAAGTCCGTTGGGGTCGAGAACCAACTGCAAAGTCTGGCATCCATTACTCAACTTCTCGACCCTAAACTACATCAACACCTAGGTAAAGATAATTTCATTATGAGGATCCGTTTAGAAGGAAAATCTAGTTTCTAACATAGAGACCACTTTGTTTATTCCTGACTGTAGAAAAAGTTGAAATATCTTTTTGAAGTATAGTCTATGCTTATCTTTTTCTTATTAATTTTTAATTTATATGAATATGTAATTGTAGTGTTCATCTTTAGCCGCTTAATTTGTTGGAAGTGGTCTTATGATTAAGGTTTCGTTTGGGACGGCTTTTTATTGCTTTTTGAAACAGTTTTTTAGTATAAAAATTAAATTTTTTGTACTAGAAAGCTACTTCAAGAACCAGTAAAAAAGCTGTCCCAAACGAAGCCTACGTCTCCTTTGAGCAAGAGTGGTATGTCCGTCCTCATTTTGCACTGTTTTTAAACTGCTGACTTTTCCATGTTTTGTTGCTGAATGGGATGAGGGTGAATAAATAATGTATAAGAAAATATAGAATATAGCTCCATGATTCAAACAATAGGATATAATGTATAATAAAGTATAGAATGTAGCTCCATGATTCAAAGAATAGAATATAGCTAACATGGATCCATTTCAATTTTAAGCCAAAAAAAAGGACGCCTTGTTGCTTTTATAAGTAAATGTACAGCGCCACCCTTTTGATTAGTTGATAGTTTTCTTCCCTCACTTTCTTTTGGTTGCAGAAAAACTTGGTGGAGGTGATTACATCTTTGCTTTCCGAATGTTCATGGTCTTGTTCCGACGGGAATTTTCATTTGGTGATTCATTATACCTATGGGAGGTAAGGAAATTGCCTTTGAACCTGTATACAACTGTACGTTTATGAACTGGTCTTCTTTTTATCTGCTCGTTTTAAGGTTAATATGTTGCAAGAATATACTAGTTAAATATTACTGTAGAAAGCTGTCTCTTTGATTTAATACCGGAGGCTCATTATCCAACTGCATGTGGGCATCACTACAACAACAACAACAATATCAAACATTTATTCTACTGTGCGGGATCGGCTACATGAATCCTTTTTCTTCATAGTGTCCTATTAAGTGTCAAATTCTCATTTAAACTAATAAAGAAAGGTCATTTCTAATATTTTCTACTCAGGTCTTTTTAGGTCTTCATCTACCTTTCTTAACATAAGTCAAATCTAATACATCTACTCTCCTAACCGGGGAAGGCCACCGTTTTATGTGACCAAATCATCTAAGGCGACTCTCTCTAATCTTATCTGCCACTGGAGCTACTCCAACCTTTTAACGTATATGCTCGTTTCGTATCCTGTCTCTTATAGTAAAGCCACTCATCCACCTGAGCATCCTCAACTCTGCAACACTTAACTTAATATTATGCTTCTCTTTTAATGACCAACATTCTACGCCATAAAGCATTGCAGGTCTAACCACCCTCATAAAATTTTCCCTCAAGTTAGAGTGGTACTTTTCTATCTCACAACAAGTCCGATGCATTCCTCCACTTCAACCATCCAACTTGAATTCTACTAATAATATCCCGATCTATTTCACCATCACTAATATTTAATAAAAATAATCATATGTTTATTATGAAAACAGCTCTTGTAGCCAATCTTTTTATTTATCATTCTTTAATTTGTTCAGTTTCTAATTCATGAAGAGAAAAAGGTCAATATTGTACCTTTATTATTTATGGGGGACTGTTTTATTCTCAAACTATTTGATGTGTCAAATTTAGCCCCCTGGTTTTTCAAATCTGAACTTTAATAGTCCTTTGATTTCTCAAACCTGATTCAAAATAATCCAATAGAGGAAATATTTTGGATCATATTTGAGGTGCGAAGAGTTTGAATGCATTAGATAGCTGGGTTAAAATGACCTCTTTTATAAATAGTCTAAGGACCATTTTTTTACCTTTATTTTCTTTATTCACAAAATCTATCAAGTAAAGCTGAGAAAAAGAATTAGTCCATTCTCAGAATTGCACTCTGTTGAACTTTTTAACAAAAAGATCTTTTTATCAAATTTAATTCCAATTGTATATCATGTTCATAAATGCAAGTTTTACCACCCTTTTTTTGGTATTTCCCCCCTTGTGTGTTTCTGGCTTAATGCTTCATCCTTGTATTTAATCACACAGATGATGTGGGCTCTAGAATATGACCCTGGAATCTTCTTGGTGTATGAAGAACAAGTGCTCTCTAGTGATAGAAATGGGGGGACCAGAGAAAAAATAAAATCAATCCGCCAATTCGGGAAGTATGAGCGAGAAAATCTGAGGAATGGAAGCAAAGGTTCTGAACCACCTCTCCCCATTTCAGTTTTTCTTGTTGCCAGTGTTCTCAAGGAAAAGAGCAATAAACTATTGCAGGAAGCCAAAGGTCTTGATGATATTGTGAAGGTAAGCACACAGATTGAACAAAACAGTTAGTTTTTTTTCGCTGAAAATGCTATAAATTTAGTATCTGACCTTCACAAAATCCCCAAATTTATTTTTTGAAGATCAGGTAGTTGAAAATTGATTTAGGTGGTTTGAACATGTACAATGAAGAGTAGAAAATAAACCCATTAAACCAGTAGAAGAAATTAATGTTGAAAGATTAGGAAGGTAAAATAGGTAGACCTAAGGTAACATGGACATTATTCTACGAAGAATAACATACAAACCAATACTCAACAAGAAAAGAGAGAGAGAGAGAGATAATTCATAAAGTTGAACGCCAAATGTTTGGGATGAGGCTAATGATGATTATATAACTCCCATTAGATACATAAAATGTGGCTTCACTAAGGCTTCGTTTGGGACGGCTTTTTTACTGCTTTCTAAAACGGAGTTTTAATAAAAAAAATAAAAAAATTTGTACTAAAATTCCGTTTTAGAAAGCAATAAAAAAACCGTCCCAAATGAAGCCTAAATTTAATATTTCAGAGTTCTTATCTCCATTTTTAAACTTGGGCATCCTCATGCTGTTGATTAATTTTCTTCTCCCTCAGATTTTAAATGACATTACTGGAAATCTAGACGCCAAGAAAGCATGCAGTGGAGCCATGAAGCTTCATAAAAAATATTTGAGAAAGGTAATGCTGCTTTTTTACCAAGGTCTCACTGTTAAGATTTTGTTAATTACATACATTCTCTCCGATTCACTTGAGAGGCGCATATTAATGGTTGAGATACTTTCTTAAATATTAGGTTGCATATCAAATGACATGGATGTATAAGAACTTATTCCATCAAGTTTGAATTGCGGTTTTGGAGACGATTAAACTCTATATTAGCCTAACAAAGACAATAAATTTAATGTTAAGTTAAACGTTTTGTTCAATAATGCATTGTTCTTTGCTATTTTATGATGAACTTGAATAAGTTGAAGATATTAATGAAAACCTCCTTATTGACTTTGAAAAATTTCTTGGCATCGTGCATTCTTGAAGGGGCTGTTAGGCATTATTTAATAGTTGCCATGTGAAACAGTTTCTAATTTTGTAATTGTTGACCTCTCCATGTAACCAAGGACTTTAAAAAACAAAAAAAAAAAAAAAAAAAAGCAAATCTGGGAGAAACCTTGCATACCTCGTATCTATTGAGAAAAATCCTCGCTTACTTCATCCACACTCGCTCTGCTATCGAGCTCTCTCATTCCACAGATCCTCTCGTCCGCACTTCCCCATAGCCCGCTCTGATCACCTGCAGTAGAGCCATAGAACTCCCAATTGCTACAGTCTCCTTTATCCGACATCAACACCCAGGCCGAACTCCACTTCAATTGCTTGATCTTGATTCCATTGAATTAGCCTCCCTCTGCCGACCCTAGCCCATCCGATTGTAGCCCCTCATCTGTTCGAGACCCCTCTAAAGTCACAAATCCTGATCCCTGCCTTTCCCAACCAAACTCAGCTCTTCCCTTTCATACAAACAGCAGCAGCTCCATCTTCTTCTATAAACAACCGCCTATCACTCCAACCCAATCTCCCGTTCTCTCGTTGCTACTCACAACAACACCTGCAACCCTTCTTCTTCTCTGTCGTGCAGCTTTGTCCAGCAAACAACAGCAGCTGCTCCTCAAAACCCACCAACAAACAGCCACCTATTGTACCAAGCACATTTCTCCTCCTCACTTGCCAACCTTACTACCTACATTAGCCTTCTCCTATCAAGCTGAAGCCCAGCCCACCAAGAAAGCCCCTTTTCTCCCTTTCTTGTGTACTTTCACTGGCCATCTTCTCCTTAAACTCACCAACCTACCAGCCCACTTACAAATGCCCACTAGAATTAACCCAAAATGCGCCTCCTCAAAACAGCCATCATACCCAATACCAAACATCAATTTCATTTTTTTTTTCTTTAACTATTAACTATTATCACTAATCAGTATTATTAATTCATTAATAATAATAATAATAATAATAATAACTAATATTATTAATAATTAATAGTAAGCAATAATAATAATAGGCATGCAATGATTGCGAATACGCTCAACTGTTAACTAGTTTGCGAATATGAGTGGCAGTTCCTATGGACATCGAAGGATATGCAAACGACTGTATGACTTGCTAATCAATGTAAGTAGAGAGGTCAACAATGAGTGCAACAATTCGATGCATTTGATGAATATGAAGAGAACGAAGTCTATGAATAATCAATGACATTCAAACTACCAAAAAGCAATAGCCTGTGAACATAGTGATCTCCCTATAACTGAGGTCAACTAGCTTGCAGAATACATGTAGCAATTCTCAGAAGTATTGAAAGATGTGCAAGTAAATATGACAATTTGATGCATGCAGTGAAGCTCGAAGCACATACATGAAGTTTACTACAAACGCAATGATAAATTTATAAGTAAAGCATAGAGATCATGCAATAATCCTTGCAAATAACGGATTCTTTTGCCAACATGTTTAGTGCAACATACGATGAATATTAGAGCACTCCTACATTCAACAATAGTTCAGTGCTAAGTAAATACATTAATCCCTTGCAAGCAACAATTATAAGTATGTCACAAAGGTGACGGGTCTCATGTGAACACAGATATACATAATAAGTTTGCGGGCAGAAGTCATATATTTGCAATATATGCCAACACCTATGGGTTGTTGCAACAAGAGATTAAATACTACGACATCTTCACAGTCAATGACCACTCTGTGTCAATTAAATACATAGATCTCCTGCAAGCGAGGGTAGTCGATATGCAACAAATGCAAGTATATGAGACCCGTCACATGCACAACATATCATCTATAAGTAAATGCAAGAAGAACTGTGGTAGATGCAAACACTTGATGGCAATAACGACAATGCAAAAACTTGCCGGCTAACATGCATTGGAAATCTAGGGTGAATACAATACACTTAGTACACATGCCACATGAAAACTATGAGAAAGAATCAGGAATTTACTATAAATACAAGCATCTACGAACAAGTGTAGGAAACCCGTTAGTGCACGACAGTTTACCTGCACGAAATGAAGGATAACTTATAGCACAACGTCACGCCACCGGATCTGCAACGTGCATACAAGCAGATAGAAGGTGTGTGCAAATTCTCAAGTGAAGTCCTGTGTATTTCTGAACAATAGCCCATCTGCATGAGAAACAAACAACTTATGATGTATCGTCACGCCACTGGATCCACAACGCTCATATAAGAGGACATAAGGCATCTACAATCTCTCAAATGGAACGTTGCGCACATTTAAATGATAGTTGCCCATACAACTGATCTGTGTCAAATATTTCAAAATGCCCTCACACATTTATTGCAACGTATATACACACAAATATGGAAATGCACATGTAAGCACATTAATATGTAAATAAAAGTATAAGTGTACATGCAAGCATGTAAACATGATATAAGAGAATGCATATGCAAGCATACACCCATATGGGCTTCGATGAGCGTGTTATGAGTACACACGTGATGTCTGAAAATATTGCACAGGTCAAAAATAATATATTTAAGTTCAAACCCGATCCTTCTATGCAAGTAGATAGAAGTCGATACAACTCGAATCATCAAACAAATATATCGTCGCGGCGTCGACTGAGATATTTATTTTAATACATTCATATTATGCCATCAAGGTTTATAACAAAGACAATCCACCAATAAAAGAATAAAGCCTATTACGAACCCGATCCATTGTCAATAATTAGATAGAGTCGACAAGGTCCAACAGATAGTTAAAAATGCTCCTTAAATGCCTGTATGGGCCTCGATGAGCGTGTTATGGATATACATGTGACGTTTGAGAATGCTACACGGGTTAAATGATAAATTTAAGTTCGAAACCGATCTTTTTATACGAGTGGATAGGAGTCGACATGGCTTGAACTATTAAATAAATATGCGGTTACGACGTCGACCAAGATATTTGTTTAATACGTTCATATTAGGCCTTCAAGGTCTATAACCAGGAAAGTTCTCTTATAAATGCATAAAGCCTACGAAGAACTCGATCCTCTGTCAATAAGTTGACAGAGTCGACAAGATTCAATTAACAAAATAAAAATTGCCCATAATACCCCGATGATTGTTGTGTTGAATGTTTATCTCAACCAGAGGGGAGCACAAGCATTCAAAATACCCCTAAATTCCCAAATGCCCATGAAATTTAAAATTCCAAAAACTACCAAAATGCAAAATATTTAGAAACCTAAATTCAGTCATCAAACGTTTAAAGAAAAATCCAACCACGCTCCGTAATAATTTGCCAAGATGGACAAATCTGAAAATTTACTTTAGTTCACAAAGAGCTAATGTATGGTCGAGAATATCACTAATATTCGTTCTCAAATAGTCCATTACTAGTAAGGACGTGGCATTGGTCCTCTGATCTGTGGTTTGGCCGGATGCTCCGCAAAGAACCCATGGTTTGGCTAGATGGATCTGCATGGTTAATGATTACAGCCGTGACCCTCTGACCTTGTGGCTTGGTCCAATGACTCCACTGTATAATGGTTACAGTCATAGCCTGTATGTACCCCAATTTCTTCAAATTCTTGTGATTCGAATCAATAGGATATAATCTATAAGGCACAAAACTCTTTGTTAGCTAAGGTGGATTCAAATTTGTCTCCTTAGATAAATATTCACCACAGGTCTACAAAATATACTTGGACGAAGCAACTCATGGCTAACGCCAAGGATTCTTCTATTTGACGACTCGCTACCGGTAGAGGTAGTTAATCATAGGGGCTTGTGCCTATAGGAAATCAGAACTCATATCATAAAATCCTCGCAAAATGAGGGCGAAATCTCTAGGTAGTATCTTATGTCAAACCCAATTTGCATTCAAAAAATTTACCTCATAACATAATTCATTAAAACTCTCCTGAAATAGGGGAGGGTGGAGCGCGAATTTTCGGAGCCCACAATAATCCTTTGAAAGTTTATGATGGATCTTGAGTTGTAATTTTCGGATTCCAAGCAAAACAGCCCAAAAACAATGGGAAAATGCGAAATTTCTTGGATGAAAACACTCACAAACACTTCATTTACTCAAATATCAAAAGACTTACAAGTTTCCACGGATACAATGCTCCCAATTCGAGAAGGGAAGCTTTCTCCCAAGTCCTAGAGAAGAAGAAACCTAAAATAGCCACAAAACAAGATCCCTCCAAAAAGCCCCCCTAACACACTTTTAACTCTCACATAAAACCCCTCCAAATCCCCTCAATACCCCTAGGGCAAACAACTCATGCCTCCTTTTCAATTTGGTGAGCCCAAGGGGCCCACCCCTTTACTCCCCCCCCCTTGGTTTGTCCGCCCAGGCAGGCGGGTTCTCCGCCTGCAGTAAATGAGTACCGGCCCCACAGGGGCCGGTGGGGCTATGGACCGAGCAGGTCCATCAGTTTACTAAATCCTACTTCAGTTAAAATCCAACTGGTAGCCAAACAGCTCCCTTAGTGTTATTTTTCTTTATCCAAAAACAGTAAATTCGTTCTTAACATTTGGCAACAAGTTTTTGTTGAAGCACAAATGACTGAAATGACTCATACGTGGTTTTCTTGTTTTTTTACAGTCCAAAGGGGCATAAGCTCTGAAGCAATATGCAGAATACAGTGCATTTTTATTGTAAGTAATTGAAGCATGCTCAAGAATATCATAACACGGCGCAAATGTGTTACTATTGTGGGACGAATCAACTTTTAAAAGCTCAGAAGCTGGTTTTCTTTTTGAAGCAATAGTTGGACCCATGTTGTGCCTATGTTGTTGAGCATGTTCATTGCAGTTTATTTGAGCTTTTTTTACTTATCTCAATTCATTGTACACGCTGTACCATCATATGCGTTCTTCGTGTTCATGTATAAACTGGAAAATATGCCAAGTTTCCTTTCTGAGGAAAGCTTCTTATATATTATAAAAAATAAGAAAAAGAAGTTTTTGATCATATCTCCTATTTACACGAGTTGTTCAGTTTGCTTTCTGATAGATTAGTAGAATTACATTTCGTTTGGGGCGACTTTCTTACTGTTTCTTAAAACAGTTTTTTAGTAAAAAAATTGAAGCTGCTTTAAAAAACAATAAGAAAGTCGTCTCAAACAAAGCCTTATTCGTTTGAACAAAGCAATCGAGTGGCTGAAGCTGCATTCCACTCCTGGATCCGAATGATAGCAGTAAATGTTTGGAACAATGTTGATGGTTCTGTGTTTCTAGTAGACCAGTTCTTCTCAAAGCTGCAGTTCATAGCTACGCTGGTTTTGCATGAGAAAATGTTCATCTTTTTGCTTGTTACTGATCAAGGTTTTTGCGTGGATGTCTCATGGCTGAGGATTTTGTTCTGAATTGCAGCCATCTTCATGATCTTTAAGGGCTCAAAAAAAAAAAAAAAAAGTTTGGTGATTATGTAATCCACAGTATATTTGATTAGTGATTGGTTTCAATTGTATGGAAAATATTTGAGATTTTACACCATAATTTGTGTTTTAAGTATCTTGTATATATGTTTTTATTTTCAATAGAATGGGCTATGCCCTAATTTTACTCCCAAAAAAAATAATTATCTTGTAACTTAAAATACGCGTTGCTTATAGTGTTCTAAGTATATTTGATGGCCATGAGTAGTAAAATATATGTACCTTAAACTCACCAAAATTAATACATTTAGAACTTCACCTCTGCTTTGTCATAGAAAAACTTACTTTTTTTTTTGGACAAAAAAATTTTTTTTTTTTATTTTGGGTTGCTTTCTTAGAGTAGTTTTATGTTAAAAAAATTTTAATTTAGGAAAAATTTTATATTAAAAAACTGTTTTAAAAAATAATTAATGAAGTTGTTCCAAACGAAGCTTAAATCAATAATGATTAGCCACGATCAAATCAAGTCTCCACTAATTCCCATTTGGAATTATAGTAATAAACACACATTGGTGTCTGAATTGGGAGAAATTATTACATGTGTTCACCATACCGTTTGGAAGCGAATCAGGATGCACCATGTCATCCGGTACATAACAAAAAATATGACGTGACGTGTTTTGATTCGCCTCCGGATGTCATATGGTAACACTGCACGTAATAATTTCTCCTGAATCGATGAATAAATAGCTACCAGAATAGCATATGGCCATCAAAAGTTTTTTTAAATCTTGACCGTATGGTATAGATTTTATTCATTTAAGAAGGTCAAATACATTTGCTTTTAAGACTCGAAGAAATTTATGATTTTCAAACATTCAAAGTCTGAGGATAAATTTGAATTTCATAAGAGTTTAGTGTACATATGAAGGGAAAAAGATTTTGTATTTGAAAAAAAAAAAAAAAGAGCAAGGAAGAGAGTGTGATCTATGCCTTAGTAACTTGTAGAGCTGAATAAAGGATTACTTGAAATCATGACTTTTTCTTACGATGTTAAAGAAGTGTTTGCTGGTTTTAAAGATATTTGTCCTAATGAGCTTTCTAATGGGTTAGCACCACTAGGGGTGTCAATTTCGGGTCACGGGTCGGGTTCGGGTCGAACCCGAACTGACCCGGGTGGAAAACGGGTCAATCCTAACCCGACCCGGGTAGAGAAACGGGTCGAAAATCCGAACCCGGACCCGACCCGGCGGGTTGCCGGGTTGTCAAAATTTTTTGAATTAAACGGGTTGGCGGGTTGACCCGGCAACCCGCCGGGTCAACCCGAACCCGACCCGTTTTTGAAACGGGTCGATTTCTGGAACCCGAACCCGACCCGTTTTGAAATCGGGTCGGGTCCAACCCGGCGGGTCCGGGTCGGGTCCGGGTCAGGTTTTCGTGTCGTGTCAAAAATTGACACCCCTAAGCACCACCTGAGGGATATATAGCATGCTATTCATTTAGTTAGTAGATCATCATTATCTTATTTGCCTAATTCTAAGATAAATCTATTAGGATATGCAGACATTGATGAATTACTTGAGAAGACATTTATTAGGAAAAACATATGAACCTTTGTTGCCCCTGCTTTGCTTAAACCTAAAAAAGGCTAGAGTTAGTATATGCATATAGATAACAGAGACACTAATAAAACAAGACATCACGATGGTATATTAGATATGTTGAATGGTGCATGTTGCAGTAATTTGAAGATTTGTTGGATTCAAATTTGTCTTTGGATGTCACCCTATTTCACTAGCAGGCTGGCTCTATAAGTGGGTGACCTGGAACCTGTGCGAGAATGGAGAGAAAGGAATACACTAGAGAAATGTTATAGTAAAAGTATTCAAAAATTCAATCAGTCTAGTACGAGGGACAAGTCTGTGAGCGAGTACAACCCAAAGGGTGCTCGATGGTTGAGCGTTGTTTAGGAGTTGTTAGCAACTTGTGCTAGGATTTGGATTGCCTAAAATAGAAAGAAAACAATCTGAGGATGTGGAGAAGACGAACTTAGTAATCAGTCGGTCATAATGGGTTCTTTGGGTAACCACCTTCTTATAGTTAGATTTTGATGCGTGGGGGATAAAGGCATTGTGATGGCTAGGCCTTAATGTTCATTGGGCAAGTTTCTCTATGAGGCCCACTAGATGCTAGTCCTCTCTTGGTAACTCATTTACTATCTATTAGATACCTATGACGGCATATGCAAGCATACAAGATTGATTTGAGAAGTGAATATATCAAGTTAAAATGAAGGAATATGATGACTAAAAAATGGTCTTTATGAATAAAAATTGATTACATGAATTATTTTTTATGCATTTTGGATTAACCAATGTATATAGTTCTTGGTTTTAATAAGATATTGATGTTTCTAGTGATATGTCAAGATTAGGTTGTAAAAACCTAGAATTCTTAAATGAATTTATTTGCAAATTTTGAAATTTCTGCACTATGACGCAGCGACACTGGGATTTTGAGCGTTGTGGCTCTAGGAGGTGCAGCATTGGGGAGCCAAAATTCGAAGCAATGACATTGATACTCTCTACCTTACAATAATTATGGAATGAGCATGTGGCGTTGCAGTACTAGGCACTGAAATAAATTTTTTAATATAAATTCTCTCTACTTAGCCCATTTCTCCCTTTTCTTTGGCTTGCTGAGAAAGGAAGGGAAGAAGGGGGAGAAGAGAAGGGGAGAGAGGAGAGAAGTAGGCTTCTTACCACCGATTTGTCTCACCGCTTCAACAAAAAATATTATAATAATTATAGGTGACTTTTATCCTATTTTGTTTTCAAAGATCTCGATTCCGATATTTCTCCTTTTGTTTAAATCAATATTTATTATATTTTATCATATTTTAGTGAATTTCCATGGCATAAGTTTTGATATATTTTAGTGTTGAATATTTTGGTCATTTCGACTGGATGATTTTGTTTTTTGTTTTGGTTGAAACATTATTTATTGCATTTTGTATGATTTGAGAAAACTAGTGATTTGGACATTTTGATATGATTATACTATTAATACAGGCATTGCGAATGAATATGGGCATGTGAATGAGCAATAGTTGGTCATTATTACTTTTACAATATTATGTGTGTAATAGCAAAAAAGACTAGTTTATTACCAAGGTTTGTTGAAGACTAATTTATACTTGTGCATGATGGTGGACTGACATACTTTTCTTTAAATATTGTGATTTGCAATGATATCCTCTATTGACTCACATTATTTACTGATTTAGAGTTATAATGAGTAATTATGGTGCCGATGGCCAAGAGTGAAAACTATGATTATTGAAAGTCACTTGAATACTAAACTAAGAATACTTATTGAAAAATGTCACACAAGTCTAAATTTCTTACTTACTTAATATGACTTATTGGACATATACATAAGACATTGATTTACTATTATTGATTGATTATTGTTGATTTATTATAACTGTGCATATGATTAAGATATTGATTTGAGACTAATATAGAGCAATTGAACATCATGTGCATTTCTATATGATCCCTTAATAGTACTTCATTGTCATAGATTTCTGACAGTTTTCATAAATACTTTCGCTTTACTGATTTAAAAATTTTTCTTACTACTTGGATAATGCTGCTATGATGTTTGGTTTAAAATTGATAGTTTACAGTCTTACCGTTTCATCATTTGTACTATATTGTTTTACATGCTTTATTATTACCACATGTATTTTATTGTTATGCACATAATCATGATTATATCGATTGCTATCATTATGAACTGAATGATTTCATGTGCATTGTTTATTTTTCCTACTTTAAGCTAAGTAGTAGAGTTTTAGAGACTTGCTGGGCTTTATAAACTCAATATATGTAGTTTAATGATTTTAGATCAGGGAAGATGTTTGAGAGTGTGAGGCTAATCAGATACATGATTCTTCAAGTTTCACTATCATTTTGTCTTTTAATTTTTTTTTTTTTTTTTGAACTCATGAGTGGGTAGACATTGTGTGTGATTTTTGGGTATTGAACTTTGATGTATATTGATGTTTTTATCAATATATTTATTTCTATCGGTATTTTTTTTGAAAGAAATTAGATAGCTCTGTTTTTTATTATTTAAAAAAAAAAGAATTATTTTCAAATTAGATTATGGGACGTCTTATAGGCATTGGAGGAACATTGAACATAAAAAGATATCGTATCGCAATTTTTAATCAAAAAATGAATGAAAGTACACATAAATATAAACAATGATAGAGAATTTTATGTTGTACTTCAATCATTAAACTTTGAAATAATAGAGTCCAAAAGAAGTTAGGTCATAAACATACCAAGTGGGTTGAGTTTCTATAAAAATATACTTTTGTTCTTAAATATTTTGTTAAAATAGGGAATAAATATGTTAGTGTTTTGAGCAGAGTTTCTATCTTCTACTTATAATGCAGATTAAGATGATTGATTTTGATCATCTAAAATGGGAGTATATCTCTTGTAAGGATTTCGATGAGATTCATTAAAATATAGAAAGTAAAATATCTTTGTATTAATAAAAGTTATATGATCAAATATAGTTATCTATTTAACATATCACTTCTTGTATTCTTGTTTCATCATAGAAGGATTTTGCAATTTTAAAATTACATGCTTTGGGTTTAGTTGGACAATTTGAGAGATAAGATCATCGCAATTATTAGAGATAGGGTCTCCAACAAAATCTAAAAAGAGATGTGGATGGATTGTGTAATTTCAGTTAGCTAAACTAAATATTGTGTTGTATTCATCCTAATAAAATTTCATAAAAACCATAAGAACAGCTTAGTATGAACTTTATATTAAGTCATAAACACTGAAAAATCATAATCCTATTTATAGAGTGACAGAGCATTAAAAAAAAGTCACATTTCATACCATCTCTGAAAATTATTGATACAATTTTAACACTAAGCACTGTTAATAATTAAATTAATCATTTAAGCATGATTAAAATTAAATTTAAAACTAGGAAAAGTCATCTGTTATCATGGCAACTTATGTTGAGTTGGCATAGATGTGTCCGCTAGCCATTATTTGTATACAAAATAGGATGAAAATGAGGAGTGACTCAAATCAAAAGGAGCTAGCATCCTCATCTCTGCAACACTTAACTTAATATGATGCTTCTCTTTTAATGGTCAGCATTTTACATCATAAAGCATAGCAGGTCTCACCACCATGTTATAGAATTTTCTCTTATGTTTGAGGGGGACTTTTCTATCACACAACAAGTCCAATGTCACCAAATAGCTATTTCTTATTTTCGATCCAATGCCCGAATTAGCCATGTCGTGCTTAAAAAAAAATTAATGTAAGTCGCCAGTTAAACGGGCGAGTTATCTTAAGTCATCATTTATTTCCTAATTAGCGATGTTGTGCAATTTCTAAAAGCATTTAAAAAAATAATAATAAGTCGTCCGTCAATTACGTCCTATCTCTTCAAATGGGAACTTCTATCTGACTCAGCTTTGCTTAGTCAGCATAAGTCGCCCATTAAAGGAGCAACTTCGACTAGTTCTAAATTTTATTTTAATCATGTTTAAAAGATTGATTTAATTATTAATCATGCTTAGAGTTAAATTTCTTTTCTCTCATATATATATATATAGCTCAACTTAGCCTATTGTATTTGCCATAGAATATCAACTTAGCCTAATGATTTTGTTGAGCTTTCTACGTCATCAAGGCTTAGTAATATATGATTTATAAGCAGATAATCATGGATTATTGCTGCTAATTATAGTAATTATAAGCTTTCTATTGATGGAAATTGAAGGTGCATGAAATTTCAGTATGGTGATTAGCCGAGGCTTAGATTCAAGCAATTAGTATTATGAATCCTATTAGTTATATTAGAGAATTCTAATTCTAAATCATCCCAACATAATAAAGGCTGCTTAAACTAATTAAAAAAAAAATCTTTCATGAAGGCATTCAGATAAGAAAACAAGCTTCATTATATAATAAGAAAATTAAAGAATAGGAAATAAATTACACAGGCCTCTGTCCCAATAATAGTTCATGTAAACTATTCCTTTCAGAAAAGTTCCATAGGAAGAAAATCTCCTGCATTTATGGAGAAGCTCACAAATTTCAAGAAATATTATTACAAGCCACATCCACTACACAAAATATACTGGATCAAATATAGGGACAGTGAGATCTCCACAACGGACACATAGCTTGAATTATTCCTCTTATTTCATGTAGGAGAATTCCTTCTTCTGATCGTTTCAGTCCTCCTGATCATATATGAATGTTACTTCTGGGAAATTACATGCTCGAAGGAGAAGAGACCATATAGTGCATGGAAATTTTGTCATATATTTATATAGAAGAAAGTCTTTCTATTAATCTTACTTTTCTCTTCCATTTTTTATCTTAGGCATCCATAGTTCATCAAAATGACAGAAATCTGTGTTATTTTAGACACACAAAGGTTCACTGATGACAGGTTGGAGTTGATTTGGCATTTCAGGTATAACTTCTTCATAAGTAACTGGAAGATGACTTTGTGTTTCAACAGGTTCTTCGGAGGTTGTGGGGAATGAAGAGCTTGAAGAATATATAGATGTCACAGGGGATGAGACCAGAACCTTCTTTCTTTTCTTCTTCTTTAAAGGTTTTGGTATCTCGGGGCACGAGCTTTCTATAGAATTTTCAGATGAAGAAACTGATTGCCATCTTCTGGGTTGCTTAAACTCTGTAATGAGAACAAGCAATAATGTATGAGGATTCTGTCAATATAGGATTTGAAATGCGTTTATATATGTATCCTTAAATTGTATTGCAATTAAGTAATTGGATAGATTGAAGGTTTGATCTTCAGAGCATAATAAATAGGCAATCTGATTATATCTTCATGGTTCTCTCTTATGGAAGAAATGCCAAACAACTTTCATTTTTCTTAAAAATGAACTGTTGGATATTGAAGGAGTATGATGGAAATACCTCAAGATCATGAGAAAACTGCATTTCACAACTACTGCTTTCTTTATAGTCAACTGTGAAACCAAAACTTATCAAAATAAAGGAAAATTTAATAACAGAAGGTGATGTTCATAAGCACTTCAGTTTAAATTTTCCTTTGTTTTCAAAATTAAAAAAAAAAAAAAAAACCTTCTGATTTAGTTCTGATTGTAATCAACTTCTCCATAATATAAGCAAAAGGCATAAATTAAATGTTTTACAGCCTACATGCATGATATTTCTGCAGCACCATTCAGCTCAGATAGATAAGAGGAACATTTTACTCAGACAATATGTAAGCTCAAACAGTCATTCCTTATTTTGTTATGGTCCCCATAGCTTGAAAACGGTACCATATAATGCTATCTTTCTTTTAGACAAAAATTTAATGATGCCCAACTTTGAATAAATCAATGTCATAACAAGACAAAAGAGCAAAACTTTAGTCTTTTTCATTAGGATCATTTGGATTGAAAGAAAAACATGTAGAAATGTTATTTCAAGGATAACTTCTACTAATTATGAAATGAAAAAGAAAAGAAGAAAAATTATTATGTGCGGCGTTCGGATCCGTCTTGCACCCATCACGTCACTCAGGGCCAGTGCATCCGGGTGACGTGGCGAGTCTGGATTCATCTCCGAACAGTCCGTACACTGCACGTAATAATCTCTCAAGATAAAGAGAGAGAAAACAAGCTGTGAGAAAACCAAGAGGTCTCGATAGACTGACCAAAATCATTCAAAGAAGCTGAATTGAAACCATTCAGAGATGCAGGGGTAATATCCGATGCAGACTTGTATTTACTCATCTGCTCCAAAAAGAAAAAAGAAATTACAAAACATCCTCCAAAAATTTTCACCAAAAGAGCAATGCAGAAAAGAGGAATACCCAGCTGGGCGCGTGTATTGAATCGCTGTCAAAGCCAATGTGTGCAATATGCCTCACATCTGTAGGGTGCCCTATCTCCATCTCTTGTTCCTTGTAAACTAGAAATTAGAAAACAAGCCCTCAACTCTTCAGAATCACAAAAAAAAAAAAAAACACAAAAAAACGCAAGGCAAATTTGTGCAGAAAGATATCAATCAGTCAATCGATCAATAATAATATTACCAAAGATCTGTGAGATATACTTTAATCCCTTGAACAAACCCTTCACCTTTGGGGTCATCGGAAGAGGCTTAAGGGTTATGAAGAAAGACAGAGACACACACATAAGAGACAAGAAGAAAACATTCAATGAATTAGAATGAAAAAAAAAAAGGCATTGAAATCATACCTTCAATGAAAATAAATTATAATCCTGAAAAGAGAAATATAACTCAGAAAATGGCTTTTCCTACCCCTTCCAAACGCCATTCTCCATCTTCTCTTTCCTCCATTATTAATCTAACAAGAAGGAAAGAACATGGAGAACATGGCCTGTTTGTCCATATATTAAAAACAAACAAAAAGGCGATGTTACAAATAAAAATGTGAAATTTAAGATTTGAAAGAGGAAATGGAGTGAGGAGAGAGAGAAAGGACGGTAAAAGAAGCGATTTTACTTAGTTTGGGAGTTGTTTGGGAGATAAGGGATGGCTCTCCTTGCAGATGAAAGCTGTTTCTGGTATTTCTATCTCTTGAATAAGCTGTGGAAGGATAACACGAAGTTAATTAGGTGGGGTCAATTGTGCGATGAGTTGTAAGGAATGGTGCAGGATGCACCATGTTTTAGCTAGTGGGGATGCGACATATGTGCTTTGATGAGCAGTTTTTGGGAATTTTTTTTAGCAATCTTCATAGATGATTGATTAATGAATCACATGTCACATTGAGAAAGACAGATCTTCACAGTACTATGATTTATGTTCATGCATTTTTGTTGAATATATTCTTCATGTGTCACAGTGTTGTACTGCTTTCATAATATATCTTTTTTAGTTCATTCATGTAAATGTATTTGTATGTGTGGGTAAAAAAAGCCACTGTGCAGCGGTAAGTAGGGGTGCACACGAGCCTGCTCAAGTTCGATTTATTTATGGACTTGTGAGTCGTGTTTATCGGGTTCGAGTTTGATGAGGTTTGACTCGTGAGCTCGTGTCCCGACTTGAATGATTATTAATATTTTTTAAATAATTTTATTTTATTTATTAAATTTAAATATTTAAAATAATAATAATAATAAATGTTTAAAATATTTAATAATATTAAAAATTAAGATTTGATGTTTATAATTAATAATAAATGTTTAAGGGGGGGTATAAGGCATATATGTCGGGGGTCCAAGGGGGCAGCACCCCTGCAGGGGTTTTCGGGGGTAGCGCCCCAGAAACAAATTTTAGTTTGAAGGATAATTTTGGAATTTAATGATGAATTCTCTTTACTATTTGTTGGGGGCAATTACCTGAAGACCATAGTATTTTGGTTTGAGGGGAGTCAATTGTCCCCCTGACCCCAATGGGGTTCTGGCCCTGAGGGTGTATTCAATGAAATGCGACAAACAATATAACACATTCCATTGAATGCGCCAAACTATTTGATTTATTCTAAATACACAAATAGCTTGTGCATTCAATGGAACGTGCCTTCCTATTTGACTAACTAGTTTGTTTTTTTATATTTTATTAATATAATACTCATATTCCTAATTTAAATTAAACATGTGCCCCTTTTTAAAATAAATCACATCAGAGGCTTGTCATCAACCAATCTTGACTTCCGATGTTGTAACCTCTTTTACTAGTTATTGATCATCATTATAGCGAACATCGAACATCGCCTTATAGTTGTTGATCATCATCACAGTGAGTGCTCGTTCTTGCCACAAATATGATCAAGATACTTCTTTTTTTTTTTTTTAATTATCAAGCTACCTCTTATAGCTACAAATATTAAATATACTTTTTAATTATTATTTATTACAAATCAACCTGAACAAATAACCTAGATGTACTTATTTTTATATTTCAATACTAAAAGTAATTATTGAAAAAAAAAACCAAATAAAATATTTTTTTAAGTTGATGAAGTGCTTTTTAGATTAATATCATCTAATTAAAATAGATATATTTATAAAAAATAAAAAAATATATATGTAAATAAATATTTATAAAATTTAAATAATCCATCACGATTCAATTGCAATACGCTGCTAAAGCGACAAAGATAGCACGCCTTATGACTAATTTATCTTTTCGTATGCTTTGCCAAAAAAAAGAAGAAAAAAAAACTTTTCGTATGCACATCACATCGAAGCAGGTAATTTTTTTAAATTTTTTTGGCATATTAGGACCGATAGGCCGCATCACGATCTCAATAAAATCTAATGAGATGGATGGTTGACTGCAAGGTCGGTCCTTTGGCCAAGAATATTATTCATTATTTTAAATTAAAATAAATAAATTTGCTTAAATGTTAATTAAGGAAATAAATAAATTTTAAATTTGGTTATGTTAAATTTTAAATTTTATATTTCAAAAATAAAATTTTACATTTTTATCAATTAAATTAAACTAATTGATAACTTCATAATCATTATTATTAAAAATTACAGACACTTCACAAATTCATTATTTATGTTACTCATGTATCACCAAAAAATAATTTTGATCGGGCACGATTCTCAAGGCAAAATCAAGTTGAATAATTTCGAAATTAAGTTTATAATCATATGAACTCTAATCTCAACAAACTTACAGTTGAACTAAACGGCTCGACGAGGCGAATCCAACGAGCTCAAGATTGATGAATTTTTATATCATCAAGACATTCAAATGCATAGTAAATATTCCATGATCAAGGTGATCAATTTCGACCGTCCATTCAAACCACTCCTACATACCAATCTCCCTTCTATTAACTGGCCATGCTACTCTTAGAAAAATGTAAATTGACCCTCATTCCTCATGGAAAGGGGACCCAATAAGGAATAGAATGAAGAGATGGAAGAGAGATAAATTAGAGTTTTTTGGCCACCAAACTCTTCTGCCACCGTCAAACCATCTACTATTGTTGGACTTCTGCTTGGCCACCGACTAAAGTTAGACTTCTGCTTGGCTAGCGACTGACGTCGGACTTCTGCCCGGCCACCGACTAAAGTCAGACTTCTGCCCAGCCACCGACGGACGTCGGGCTTCAGCCGAGCTACCGATTGACGCCGGACTTCCGCCTAGTCACCGAATAATTCCAAATTAACTTCCGCTCGACTTTCAATTATTGTTGGACTTGCATTTGACAACTTATTATCGTCATACTTCCTCTTAACAAGTCATTCCGACCTTCGTCACCAGACAACGGTCTTTCTGACCATTGTTGCCCGCCGACTATGATCCTTCTAATAGCATATCATGATCTTTTCAACCCCTGTCGCTAGATAACAGTCTTTCTAACCACTATCACCCATCAACTACTGTCCTTCCGACCTCCGTCACTAGACAATAATTTTTCTGACCACTGTCGCCCGTCGATTATATCCTTCCAACCACAATCGTCAAACAACTATCTTTCTGACAACTGTTGTAACAACACAAGCTCTTAACTATCAAAATATTGTCCGCTTTGGATCTAGTCACGAAATATGCAATAAAATTATGCAAGTGATTGATATCAAAATGGAGGTCAACAACTATCAAAATCAAAATCTTTAAAAATATAGATTTGATAAAAGTTTCCTATGTCAGTTTAAGCAATTTTTGTAAAAGAGGAGAAGTGGATCGGCGATCAAATATGAACTTTTAATTCCTCTCTCCTTCTTCTCTCTCTCTCTCCCCCCCCGTCTTTCTTCCAACACAAGTCAGTGCTAGTGGGTAATAAATACGGTGGCTGAGTGGAGAGAATATATATATATATAGTAGGTGTGTAGCACCACATCATGACCATCCAGCGCCGCAGCGCTGCATGCATGCTGAATCTAAAATTACTATAAAACACAGTATCCAATGTTGTGATGACATTTTCTAGCATCGTTGTGCCCTCAACCAAGCACTGCTGTGCTCAAACATGAATTTAGGTTTTCATTTTCAATTTTTTTAGTATTTTGAGGAAATGAATTTATTGAGAGGGGTTTTAGTAGTTAAATGCATGTTCTATTAATTAAACCCTAAAAAAAAAGAGGAGGAATTGCCCATTCTAAGCTTTTCTAAAATTAGCCTCTACTTTCATCTTGGGGACTTATCTCTCAATCCTAAAAAAACGCCTCTAGCATTTATAGACTTCACCTCACACACTTGCCCAACCTGCTAGATCTCAAAGAATTGCTTAAGGCACTAGCGACTTGCCCTAGGCACTCGTTTGAGGTGACATAACCAAGTTAAAGATACATCATCTAATTAATCCACATATCTATATCAATCTATATTGGCCTTCTATAAATTATAAGTGAATAGATATATTTTAGATTATCATGATAATTTCATGTTGTGGGATTTCTCTATGCTCACTAGTTCCTTCACTTACGTATAAATTGTAATTATGAAAACATCTCCTTATAATAAAATATTACTAATATCTAATATCATATATAAATTCTCATTTTTTTTAATTATCAAAATTTTATTTTATATATTTAATACATAAATATCTAATATTAATCTTATGCAAATATTTTTGTTGCACATGTTGACATGTGACTTCTTTTGATAAACATACATACAAAAATCATCAAAAAAAAAAAAAAAAAAAAAAATTAAAAAATAATTTATTTATCTAAAAATTATGTATGACCTATCAAATTATTTAGAATTTTAAATACTTTTAATTAAAATTAAAATTATTCTCAATATTAAATATATTTTAAACAATATTTTTTTAAAAACACAGAAAAACTTGATATTTTAATTTTTTAAAATTAAATTAAATCATTTTAAAACCTTAAGAAAAATTATTTTAAAAACTCATTTCAAATTAGAAAGGGCATTTTCAA